ATTAATCTACACTCAGTAAATAGTGTTTTTTTAGGCTATAAAATCTTTAATTTCGAATTTAATATCTAATTTTACTACCAACTTTATCATTATATTCGAGCCAAAGTTAATGCATTCGTCTTTAATAGAAAGCAAAGCTAAGGTTAAAATATACAAGATATCGGTCATATATGCATATATAAAAAAAAAACGCTCACAAACTCTTAGATAATATTTAAATGAAGCACAGGTGCTGCGTTGCCTTGTTAAATGTTTACCTAAGCGAAGGGTCAATATACTTTTTATGATTTAGAAATTGCAGAGTTTCCTCATTTCTGAGGGTCACGGAACTTATATGAAATATGTTTATGTAGTATGCTAATTTAAACCAAATGTATAACAAAACCATCTTTCACTGGCGTAAGACATATTTATGAGAGCTATATACTTTTTTTTATTATAAAAAGCTGAAATCAATTAAAGCTATAGTAGTATTCGTCCAGGTTGTATTTTAAGAGAAATATATGCAACCGTTTTATAGATTGAACGTATTATATAAGCATTTGTGTATACATATACTTTTGCAAATATATATATCCTGTATATACGCTTATATGCAAATACCCCTATATGCATAATATTCAAGTAATACTTGCTATAAAATGAAAAGTGAAATATATACATTTACGATTAATAAAGATTTGAAATATATAAAGGAATTGATTCTTCGGTAAGAAATATTATTTTTGCATTAATATATCACTTCAGAGAGTGATAGAATCGTATTTAAAGAGATTATAAATTGCAACAGGTGTCATCTTAAAGGGACACTGTATATCGGTTGATAGAACCTTTTCTGGCTCTTGAACTGTGCGCGCTTTTTATTTAACAGGGACAGGTACACCTGATCAGAGTTCATATACAAACGATATAAATTTTACATTTTTTTTATGAAACTATGATATAACATAATCAAACATTACATTTATTTTCCAGACAATGTAATATTTTATATCGCTTCTTAATCTATTAACTTTATTTTTTGATATGATAAGATATGCTAATTGATTCGTTAGCCTTTCATTTGAAATCAGCTATTAGTTACAGATTATTGCCTAACAACTTCTAGATCTACTGAAGATGTTTAATGCGTTTTCTTTCTCGAAACTTACATATAATGAATTATATACTGTATATATATACTGTATATATTAATACAATATTTTGAAACCTCTTATTAATTTTTTACACAAAGAAGAATTAAAAAAAAACTCTAAACTTAACTATTGATACTATTTGACTTCTGTATCGGGAATGGACAATCCTAAGGTCATAAATTAGCTTTAACGGCCACTTAAAAACAAGCAACTAATGAGAAACAACAAAGAAACATCTTTTACCAACCTCCAATCCATATCTTCAACAGCTTGCCCGATTTCTGGCATAACACCCATTTCTGTTTGAAACAAGCCATATTTATCTTTACTCAAGAAAAAATCAGAGTTTGGTATTTTCGTTGATCAGAGAATAGGGTTTAGAATAATCGCATATATTTTTTTGGAGCTTACGTAACTCATAAAATGTTCCAGGGTGGTCTAGACAGAATATAAAAAGCTGACGCTATCTATCCAGGGCAAAGAATACAATTCAGGTGCATCTAGGCCTGTTCCGGACCGAGGCTTACAACAACAAAAATAAAGGACAGTGACTTTTTGAATGTGCCGGTTGAAAGGGAATTAAAGTATTCTTTAGGTAAATCATCATGTCATCCTGAGATTGACTTAAATTATTAGGGTCACTAACCTTCAAATGCCGTCATTTTTACAGTGAGATTTTAGGCAGAAATTTTTCGCAACGTGATATCACTCCGGAACCGGAAGCAGGCTAGACCGGCTACTTTTAGCAGAATTTTCTTTGAGAATTTAAATGTGTGATAAGATAATCGTGTTCCGGTAGTGGTTATGAAAGTTTTTTTGAGATCACTCCTTCTGTGTATATACGAAAATGTGCTGTGGCAGAAACCAACTTCCGGTTCCGAAAATGCGGTTATTTAAACTGCCAACTGTCACTACTTGGACCGTACTCCATAGACTAAAATATGTCAGATAGAGCCTCTTTTTTATATAAAATTGTATTTGATGTTAAAAATAAATGAAAATAGTAGGCTATCCTATACAATACAAGTATTATTATGCTTTTCAATTAGAAGTCTTTTCGTACAGAAAATTTTTAACAATAGCTTAATCTTATGTCATTGATGCTAGAAACTATAAATTAACTATATTTAAGGAATTGTTAGTATAAAGAATAAAAATATTTTAGTTTTTATATGAAAGTATAATATGAAATATTATCGTTTATAGTCAGATTAGCGTGTCTGAATTGTCTATTAATAGAATATGTTTTTTTCAAAGAATATATATGAGTAATCATATAAATATATATATACAGCATATATTATCAGAATAATTCTGAAAAAACTTTTTAATAGTAACTTTAAGATTTAACGTATTTCTATTAATCAATTTAGTTTGTCTTTCTCTTATTGTTTTTACTATTTATTTCTTTTATTATTTAACAATTATGAAGAGGAAAAATATATTGTTATAAAGATATGTATATAAGCAAAACATACAAGAAATGCATATATATTGTATTAATTTCTCTTCAGTTTCTTTTATTACCGCCAAATATTGATAAAGGAATACGCCAGTCTTATGTTTATTAATGGGGGTATAGTAAAGTCTCTCTAGCTTGATTAGATCTTTTTTTTCGTTTTGATTGCTAAGTGACCATTTACTGATTATTTTTTTGCTGTTCTCTCTTTTAAACAGCGTGTATCAATTCAAATAATAAATAATTTATACCCTACTTTTTCGTTTAGAAAGAAAAAAACTCTTAGAAAGTCTAGTAATATGCAAGAACAAGAAATTATTAGTAACAGCATTTTGGTATTGGCTCCAGCTATCCATAAATAATGTTTATTAAGCCTTGAAGAAGATAGCGAACTAGAAATCAAACCAGAAATATATTGAATAATGTAAATGATAGCATGATAATGTTAATATCATTACTTCTAGGAAGGAAGGAATATAAAAGAGTATCGCTCGTGCATTTTCGTTAAGAATGGTGGATGATCTTTCGATTTTCGCTTAATATATATTACTTAATCTCGTAATTAGAATCGATGGGCCGTAAAAATCTATGGAAAAAAATTTTGACTAACGTTAATGCTATCTATTCACAGTGTTTGAACAATGCAATCTCTCTCTGAATAAGTATTATACATTGAATTATAGTATTTTTTTACTCATTTTTAAACAATAATAAAGCAGTCACCACCTGCTTTACCTCTCATTCCTCTTCTATTTCTCATCAATTATTGGTTTCTAGCCGACTGCTTTTGACAAATGCAGCCGTTTAAATACATTTATATTAGTCTAATTCGTCTCCATTCACCATTTTGCATCAATTATAAAACGGTATCTTGAAAGAAAATAAACTAAGTGGGCGTTACTTTTATTCATGACTTTATTGAACTATATTTCTGCTTGACTGCAAGTGCGTGACAAAGACTTTTCTGTAATGTCAATTACTAAGACCCCTAGATTCAGCTAATGACACAAGTTCACTGTTAAACGAAATGCTTAATATAACAACATGTAAACAAAGTAATTAAATAAACTTATCTTTTTCTTAATTTATTACGAAATAGACGTGTCGGTATTATGAAAAAAAAAGGATTATTTGTTCAGCTTCCTATCTACGTGGAGGCGAAAGATTGACAACGGAAATCAGAAATTTATCATATAAATATTTTTTACAATCTGATAAAGGATAATTGAACAACGAGGAGTTTTCTCGTTATTTCTCTATTCTCTTTCCCTTTTTCTTTAATACCATCCCCTTAATTCTCTATTCATCTCTCTATATCTCTGTCTTTCTCTTCTTCCATTTTCTTTTCTCTCTCTTTCTCTGTCTTTCTCTGTCTTTCTCTTTTTTTCACTCTTTGTTCATCTACTTAGAATAAAACTTACTTCCGTTTTTCTTCACCATTTTCCTAAATTACATCCGTATGCAAAAGAGACGTATACTTAGAGATTTCAACGGCTTCTTACCTCAGCAGCCCCAACGAGGTCAAATATACGAATAATATTAAAGCAATATTGAGGATATTGCTTAATATATTTAAAATACGTGATGTATATAATGATAAAGTAAGATCCCTCTCTTTGGACAATTACATCAAAAGGGAAAAATAAACATTCTTCATAATTATAAAAATATATCGGTATTCTCATATTAAATCGAGAGAGACCACACAATCTTATATTATCGTGGAAATATCATTAAGAAGAAACCAAACATTTACGCATGATATTTTGAAGATTTGTGTATTCTTTGCAAGAATTAATAACATTCAAAGAGTAAAAAATGCACAATAATTTGTCATTAAAGAAGATTTACGACAGACAATTGTACTTTTCCATGTGAATTAAGCAATATTTATGTCCTCACCAAACATGCCGTGCATAACGTTACAAACTGCCGGAAAAGTTGTCTCAACTAGTACAGCTATCGGGAAAGCTCTAATTCTATAAAGAAACGAAAAGAAAATTTATAAGGTATTAGAGTGATAGAGACAAGTGTTTCTCATGATATATTTCCATTGCACCCGGCCCTAATTTATCAAATGAATTTATTGATTTAATGTATATTCCTATATTATTCTTTGACGTTGGCGCAACGTCTCAATTGTGGGAACGCGTACGTTACATATTTTCGTACACCCCTAGCTATTAATAAAAGAACACAAAAAGCTGCCGACATCTATGAAAAATTACCCAAATACTTTGTCTTTCCAGATTCTCTTACGTCAGTCTTCAAGATAAATCGATCAACGTCTTACTCTTTAACTTACCCAAAGATTATATAATAATCAAGAATTTTCGAACAGAAAAGAAGTTATTATAGCGCCATCTATCTCATTTTTAGAATGTTCTATTGAGTTGACAAGTCGCCATTTCTTGTATCGTACTTAACGTGTTAATTTATAATAACTCAAAACATGGAAAAGTGCGTTTATCCATTCGCCGAAACGGACGAAAGTAGTGAATTATACGATAAATTTGCTACTTGCGACAATGATTTTGATAGGATGAAAATTGCTTATCAATTTAATCCAAGTTTTGTAAAAGCAAAGAAGAACTTTAAAAACGACACCTACTCGGAACAACACCGCGAAAAAGGCAACAAGAAATTCGCTGAAACTAAATTTAACGATGCTCTCCTCCATTATAATGTAGCTATTCGATATGCAGTTGTTGGTAAAAATCTAAGCTTAGCCTACTCGAATCGGTCGGCAGTTCTATTTCAAATAGAAGAATATGAATGCTGTTTAAGAGATATCAACATGGCTCTAGAAGTAGGATATCCGAAAGAACTAGAATATAAGCTATATTATAGAGCTTGCAAGTCTTACAAGGCTTTAGGTCTAAAAGATAAAGTAAAAGAATGCGTGAAAAAGTTTAAAAAGTCCTTGGATGGCATTGAAATGAAAGGTGAAAAAATTGAGAAGTTATTAAAGGTAATTGAATTTTTAAAGCAATTTTTAATTATTTATAATAAAAAAACTAATATATATATGTATATGTTATATAGGATTTATTAGCTATTACTACTCATAAACAAGACAATTATTCGCACCTTTTTTCTCGCACACCCAAGATACAAATACCTAATTCGAAGTTCCCTAGTCTAACCCATGATGTAGTAGTACATTATACGGAAGAGCAAGGTCGTTTCATAAAATCTACGAAAGATCTCGCCATTGGGCAACTCGTTGCTGTTGAAAAACCATTTGAAAGAGTTTTAGATTGCGATTCTGAATCCATGATATCCAGTCATTGCGATAACTGTTTAGAACGCAATTATTGTTTGATTCCTTGCGACTATTGCCCGGACGTTTTATATTGCAGTAGAATTTGTATGGATAATGCTCGTTATTTTCATCAAGTCGAGTTTTTTCATAAAACAACTGATAGGAAAATTAAGAAAATTATTCATGAGATCAACACTCAAAATACTCTTCTTTTTTCTAGGCCATATATATTTGTCATTATAATGACGTTACTCACCTATACTTGTCCTTGGATGCATGTAAATGCTTTCATTGTGATGCTCACCTTTCATGAGTATGCTCAACATCTCATCACTTAACATTATTTATTTTGTTCACTAAGCATTCATCCACCTAATTTTTCTTAGAAATTAATATAATTCAGGTCACATATTCTTATTAAATAACTTGGTAAAAATAATTAATTTTAGTCATAAATACAAGTATGTAAAAACTCGACTTAGTTTGCTTGCGGCTTTTTGAAACACTTGAGAATGTCTGATATTAACCGGTCGGGCTTTCTAACTTATAGACTCTTTACAAGGAGGAATTCAGAATTTTTTCTTCGTTTAAGAAAGGAATGGCTAGAAAATAAGTATAAGTTTCTGAAGACTTTCTCAAACTCGTCAGATGTTGATTATGTTTATAGGCATGATAGCTATTGGAATTATTTCTATTTAAAGGCCAATAGTGCAAAAGTTTTGAAGACTAGTCTTTTGAATTGTTTTATTAAAGCTCAGGAAGCTTTAATTATTATGGATTGTTTGGAGACAGCGGGTTACTTTCATAAGGAATTGGATTTGGATGAAAAGTCTTGGTGTGCAGGTTTAATTTATAGGCAGTCTCTCATTTTTGAGACTAATGCTGTTGGTACTTATGAAGCTGTATTTAAGGAGAATGATTCCGCTATATCAATAAAGCATTGTAATACAGGTTCAGCAGTCTATAATACTCTTAGTTTATTGAATCATTCATGTTCTCCTAATTGTTGTTTTGTGTACTATAACGATGATGTTGTTGCTTTAAAAACCATACGAAGAGTAAAGATGAATGACCCATTGACTATCGATTATGGAACTGCTTTTCAAGGTTAGCATTTTAAATATTAGAAAAACTAGCTAATTATATAATCATCATGAATGTATAAATGTCATGATACTGTCTAAGTTTCTCTATATTCCACTTCTAATCCCTTCAAGATATGGAAGCAGAAGAGCGTCAGAAAAAATTATGGTGTCAGTACTTCTTTAATTGCGATTGCGAAGCTTGTAAGTTTGATTTTCCGACTGCAAACAAATTGAAGCCAATAGCAGCGGGGAAAAACTTCAAATGCCTTTCTTGTGGAGGTCATATTTATATTAAGAAGTGCGTGTTCTGCAAAAAATCTTACGATAATATGTGTGAGACTATTTCGGAATTAAAAAATCACTACCATTCCTTACTAGCTGCTTTTGGAGAGATGAAACAAAGTTGGAAGTTTAGTAAGAAGAATGAGCATATTATTTTGGATTGTATGAATATTTTTGAGAAATATACTCTGTGGCCGAATCATGATATAAATTTGGGACAAGATCTTCTCAGAAAAGTCTGGTCAATAGGAGGAAAACATTGGATTGCCAAATTTTAAAGAATATCTAACAAGTTGCTTAAGTTGTTTTTGCCTTCGACTAATAAAATAATTTATAAAAACTATTTTTTATTAACTAATGATCAGTCAAAATTACATAATCGTAGATAAGCCTATATATAGGGTATAGAGCTATTGTCATCTTAGCATTCAAAAGTATGTAGACAAAAAGTAATCACAAATTATATACATATTAATTATGTAAATATAATTATTTTTTATCGACTTTTACTCTGAGCTGCCTCTTTTCTAGCAGCATCTTGTAAAAGTTGAGTATCGCATTCCTCAGCTGGTAATTGGACATAGCGAACAACTGATCCTCGTATAAAGCAATTCTTCACTGATAGCATATGAGGATTCTTCTCAGGATCGGTGACATTTATATCAGTAAGTTTGATATTCAAGAATTGATCAACAGAATGTAAGGTTCCAGAAATGCTGTGGTGTAAAATACATATCAACGATGATCAATTAGCAGAAAAAATTTCATTTTAATGTGAACCTTAAAAATTTTCTCAATATCTTTAATAAAATTAAAGAATCATACTAAGTACTTAATTAACACTAAAGTAAATTATATTTTATTTTATATTAAATGTTAAAAAGTATGTTAAATTCAATAAATATATAAAAACTTTCTTTAGTGTTAGAATGTAATTTGGGAGTTCTAATTTTTACTCTATTATCGCTTACCATAAATCATTTTTTAGTTCAACGACTACGTCTTTACCGACCAAAGATTTGAAGAATGAGTAGAATAGCTTTTTAATAAATAAGCAAAAATATTATTATGTTATTTAAGTGGATCAAAAACTCACCATCTTTAATAGCCGGGTGTAGAATAACGTTCGGTTAGTTTTACGATTCGGTATCGAAGACAAATTATCTCGAAAATACGAAATTGTTTTCAACTTACAAATTTAATTTTGAAGCTGACTCATTATTTTCCGCATACAAAGTTAACAACTTATGCAACTGAAAGAAAAGCGGTAGAATAGCATGGGCTGAAAAAACTGGTATATATTTTGCCGAATCGAGAAAAATTTTTCAGTTTATCAAAGCTATCATAGCAAAAAACTCCGAATCATTATATTTTGATTAAATATCTGTCATTTGGATTTTTCCTATGGAGGCTGCATTCGGAACAAGAAATTTTAGCAATCTTAATTCTTCAGATTCGGCAATATCTCATCAACGTTGGAGTCCTTACGCTTTCAATGGAGGGTGAGTGTTGATCCGGCAAGTTTTTGAGAAATTTGCCTATTATCGCTTTTTTTCCCCCCAGAACAATTCTTGCTGTAGCTGGAGAGGATTTTGCCGTTATTGCAGCTGATACCAGACTGAGCGAAGGGTTTGCTATTCATACACGTGATTATCCAAAAACCTATCAATTGTAAGTTGACGGAATTTACGCTTATATGAATATTTAAACTCATTGCTTGATACAGGACTGACAAAACTGTCCTAGCTTGTGCTGGATTTCATGGAGATGTCTTAACGATGACTAAAGTTATGGATTGGAGACTAAAGGTATTGAAAATTTAGTTTTCTTAAGGTTAAATTAATTCGTTTTGCGATTTGCGAACTGAATTTTAACAAACTCTAACTAGGCCTCGTATTACTCCTTCCTGACTTAACTCATATTCTTACATTTATGTTACATTGAAATTATACTTTCAGATGTACGAACACGATCATCATAAGAAAATGTCATCCTCAGCCATTGCAGCCATGCTATCAACAATGTTATATTACAAACGATTTTTTCCGTATTATGTCTACAATATAATTGGAGGGTTGGATGAAAATGGTTTGTATTATCAACTTTTAGTGTTTGCTATGATTATAGTAATAATATATATTATTAACTTTCTATCCAGGAAAAGGTTGCGTTTATAGCTACGATCCTGTGGGTTCGTATGAGAGAGAAGTTTTCCGCGCAGCTGGTTCAGCAGGAGCTATTTTGCAACCACTTTTAGATAATCAGGTAATATATTAAAGAAGAGTTAACATTACTCATACGTCAAAAGTTTATAATTTACTCTGGATTTTATCTTTTGTAGATTGGTTTTAAGAACCAAACAGGCGTTACTCATGTTCCACTAAGTTTAAATAAGGCATTGGAATTGGTTAAGGACGTGTTTATTTCAGCAGCAGAAAGGGATATTTATACCGGTGATTCACTGATAATCAACGTGGTAACAAAGGACGGTGTAAAAGTTGATAGATTCCCATTAAGACGTGACTAATGTCTTTTGATTATATATTTAACAAAAATAAAGTGTTTTTTTGATAAAAATTAAATTGATGGTAATTTTGAAAAACAATAATATGACGTATTTTTGAATTAAACATGCTTTTTTGATAGTATTTACTTATAGTATTTTGTCTAGGGATCTTTAAAAAAGTCTTGTGCACACTTTCCAAATATTTGCAACAGAGCCTCATCTATTTAAACTATCGATTAAAGTCTATATTTCAGGCTTTTTCATATCATTCAGAACTGAATAAGTATATTGTTAAAAAAAACCAAGAAATTGTTTATAAAAATCTACCGTAGTGTAATAAAAGCATGTATTTGATTGTTTTGTTTAAGTGGAATACGCCTAATTCGCGTTGAAAAGATTTTAAAAATGTTAATGAAGAAAGCATAGGCGTGACGATCGAATTTTGACAATAAAATTATATTTAACTGCTAAGAGAAGAGCCGACTGAGAAAGTTTAAGTAGAGCGCAGATAATCATATTGTTGTTGTTGTACGGCTTCGTAACACCCTGACGATAGGATACAAAAATTCAATCTTTCTATATTGTATGAGATTTAAGATACTTTTTAAGATTTCTATTAATGAATCATTTATACTTTCTTTCATACATTTAATTGTAGTAAAAGCAGAAGTTGTAAGAAAACGAATTTAATATCATTTTTACAATAGCTTGACTAATATTGCAGCTGTAGGCCAACTTTGAATAAGAGAATATGCTCTGAGAATAGATTATAAATTGTTAAAAGAGTATAGAAAAACTATTTTAGTTCTTGAGGGGAAGAGTGACGCAAGTTATGGTATTGAATTTACTATTTCCTCTGCAGTATTCTTTGACATTTTGGCGGAAGGAATATAAGCAGGATGAGTAGATCAAAGCAAATTGATCTTCTTCAAAATCGGGATGAAGCCGATTTGAACGTTGAAGTTATCTACGACTGCAAAGTATGCCGTAGTTCAAAGGTACAAAGAGTTTAATTATTGATAAATTAACTTTCGTTTAATAGCCGAATATCTTTACTAAATATTTTAAAAATGCAAGCAACCTTCCCTAACTTTATTCATTATATTGAATTTAAAGCTGGTAAGTAAACAATCTGTTGTCAAGTGTTATCAGTTATTAGATGAAAAATATGAAAGAGGGAAATATTGAAAGTTTTGCTAATATCAATTTTTCTCTTCTCTCTTCTTCACCCGACTTTCCTTCTTTTTCAGTTAGATGACAGTGAAAAACAGCAGAAGCACGACTCAACCGTACAATTATTCAAGATAGCTGAATATCAAGGCGATGTTAATAGTCGTTTAATCTCTAAACTCTTATATCAAGATAGAGCCTGTGTTAATTGCCAAAATGACGATAAACATACCGTTCTACACAAAGCTATTATCCACGAGAATATTATAGTTTTGAACATACTTTTAAAATCAAACTTTTGTAACAATTGGAATATATACAATGCTCTTCTATTAGCCATAAGTCGTGGATCGACAAAAATAGCTGAGGATTTTATTAAGACAAACGTAATTTACGAAAAAATTAAAATGTACGCTTTTGAAAAAGAAACTAAAGGTTTAGAAACTGATGGAAGTGACGATATTGGGGAAGATACGAATCTGTTTATGGTTGATGTGACACCGATAATGTTGGCTTCGCAAAAGAATCAGTTTTCTGTTGTAAAGTTACTTTATGCTAGAGCGGAAAGAATATCTGAACGGGTGTTAAATAAAAGGAAATTTGAACTCGACGAGCTAAAATTCAGTAGAACGAAATTGAATGTTTATAGAGCCTTGGCTTCGGATACTTATCTCTGTATAGGTTTTAGGAGCGATCCCATTTTTAAATCATTCGAATTAGCCAAGAAAATGGACAATTTATCTATTACGGAAAGACATTTTAGGGTGAGTGCATTCAGCAGACAAAAAAGAATAGATAAGATAGAAGAGATTGCCTACTAAATCTAAATTATACTTATCTAGAAAGAATATCAACAATTGAAAACCCAATTGGGGGGATTCGTTTGTCGTCTCTTAGATAGAGTAAGGCATCAGGAAGAGCTATCCGTTATATTAAAAGAACAAAGCGGATTAATTAATTTACATAATGAAAGTGACGACGAAACGAATAACACTATGCCAAGACTAAAATTAGCAGTTCAATATGGCCTTAAAAAAGTATATAATAATAGAACATTTATTTATGAACTATTCATAATCTTTATTCATTATTCAACACAGTTTGTCGTTCACCCGTCTGTCCAACGAAAAGTTCAAACTAGAACTTACGATAATCCACTGGCCGAGCATCTCTTCAATACCAACATTTTCTGTTCATTTCTCAACCTTATACCATTCATTTTCCTTTATTTACTTGCAACAGTTTTTTATCTTATTTATCCTTTCAATACCGTAAGAAATTTGTTCTTTATAAATAAAATCCTCGCTAATATTACTCATAATAATGCAATTATTACAGAGACTAAAGGTTAAAACTTTCTTAAAGACCCCTATTGTTAAATTTCTGAGTAATTTAATTGTATCTGTTGGATTTGTTATCATTATCCTCATCCACTCTATTCGAGAAGATCCCAGCTATCATATTGAGTAAGCTAATTTATTATTACTCTTATTATTATTATTATTATTATTTCTATTATTAAATTATGCTAATTTATGATAATTTTAATTAAATAAAGCGGATCAGCTGCACGGATCAGTACTCATCCAAAACTAAGCCAAACGTTCTGCACTTTCTTAAGCGAACAAACTATGGCTAGGAATAAAACTTCTGGACAACTAATTAAAGATTATTGTTCGTTAAGTTCCATACAGAAGAGGGAAGTTGTTTACCCGTTTAAAGATATTGACGGAGTAAAGTTGGGGGATGAATTCATCCGCAATTATTCGTTCCAAGTGACCTTTTGGATAATTATGATACTTGTTATCGGTTTTGCCTTCCGTTACGGTAGACTTGTTTATCACGATACATTGGTGTATTTTTTGAGAAATTGGTACAACGTTTTCGGCTTGATATCTATGATATTGTATATGCTATATATAGTTTTCGTGATATATACAAGAGCAAGGGTTATAGAGGCCATCGATTACTTTAATCGAACGCCAACCGCCTGGAGAGATTTGCTTTATTCAAATAATAGCGAAGCGGAGAGAAGATGGAGTAATATTCCGGCTGATAGAAGATTGTGGCCTGACAGTGATTTGGGTATTATAGGAGAAATATGCTTTTCAGTTGGTTGTTTATCAATGTTTCTCAGTTTCTTCAGCTTTTTTATCGCCAATGAACATATTGGGCCATTGGTTATTAGTTTAGTTAGGATGGGAGGCGAAATGATAAGATTTTCAGTTCTCCTTATCACAACTTTATTATCATTTATTCTCATCTTTGTCAGACTTTACATGAACTTTGCACCAAAGAATAGGTCCGTTATTGAAGTTGACTTTGATGTAAAAAGTTTCCAATTTGGAGAGGACGGGGATGCCGGTTATAAGTTTGGGAGTTTTATGTCGGCTTTTAGAACACTCTTCTGGGGTACATTCGGTATGGCGAGTTACTTTGACGTCGAAATAGCTGGTGAAAACAATCCTAACAACTTGGACTATAGGACTCCTACTGTCTTTGCCGGTTATATTATGTTTGGTATATATCATTGGGCTACAGTAATCCTCTTGATTAATATGCTGATAGCTATGATGACTAGATCTTACGATCGTATTGCTTCTGATGAAGATATTGAATGGAAATATGCAAGGACTAGACTCTATTTGGATTATATGCAAACTGACACATTATGCGTTCCTTTCAATGTAATTCCCACTCTAAAAACTTTGATAAGAGTTTGTCGATGGATAAAATATATTTTCATGCAATGCTTTTTCTCTCCAAATAAGAAAAAAAGAGGTTTAAAAAGATCGTTAAAGTCAACAAGAAGCGATGATATAGACAGATATCATAGCTTTTTCAAACACAATCTTGATACTGATAATACTAAAGGTAAAAAACTTACCTATGAAATGGTTATGAAGCGCTTAATAAGTAGATTTTGGAATTCTAAATCTACACGCTTCGAAGAAGATACAAAGTTAGAAAGGGAATCTCCTAAGCTCCTTGCAGATGATGCTAACAACGATATGTCTACCATGAGAAAGGAAATAAATCATTTAATGGAGATGATAAAGCAAAGGGACTCAACAACAAACAATTTTATAAATAACTTAATGGACTTGCAGGACCTAATGAAAGATATAGATGTAAAGAGCGACGAATTTGCAAGACAACAAGTCGAATTAAGACTAAAAATGGAAAACTTTTCTTGCGATTGTCCTTGTTGGGAATTAATGCAATCTGTAGGATTAGTTAGGAACATACCTCATACCTCCGATCTGCAAGTTTCAGAATCATCCACAGCTAGCACAAGTAGGCTAGTTGGTGTTCGTTTAATGAATGATGCAGAATAAGTATTGTGTAAGTACTACTCGTTTGTAATATACTTGGAATAAAAGATAAACAATATAACGTATTCAAAATGAACAAACAGCTATTTCATGTTTATTCTTTCCTTGTTATAATCTCAAAGTTCTCCTTATCTATAATTTAATCTATGTCTTGCACTTACAGACCATATCTTCTTAAGCGATTCCTGAGCTGAAGACGCTTCAATTGTTGGCCAAATAACAATATTTTCTAAACTAATTAAATAGCTCAAGACAATTTTTTCGTTCTTCTTACAATTCGCCCAATCTTCTACAATATCATTAAATGCTGTTGTATACAGAGCATGTTTTCCTACAAGTTCCTTTTTTGTATGAAACCAGTCAAGTGAATTAAATTCACAACAAGATTTACACTTATTACTTTCTACATTCGATCCACAATGATGACATTTAAAATGTTGGTCTGATATGAATTGGGGGAGATTCTCGAACAAAGGATAATCAAATTTACAGGCGTCACATTGGCATAAAAAGAAATATTGATCTAATAACTTCTTCTGACGTTCTTTCCTCAAGTCAACTTGAAAAATAGCACCATAGTTACCATTGAGAGCTTCGTTCGCTTTGACAGCTCTTATTGTTTTAACAACGCAAATATCATCACCATAATTTATTCGACAAACGTTCGGTGTACAAGAATGATTGAAGAGACTTGTACAATAAGATTTTTGGGTTTACTAAATTGGTAGTAGATCGTTTAACAACTCTAACAATGAATGATTATCTGATAAAGGTAATTGCTTATAGTATAAACCCAAAAACCTTAAAGTAGCATAAATTCCACAACCAATTTCGGCAAGTTCAGTAGATATTGCACTAGAGCCAGGTGTTAAAATTTCTTCGTGTATTGAATGAGCGTTACAAGGGAAATTTTGTAAATGCGTGAGAATAATACCTCCAATCCAACTTTTATTTTCATTGTTTAGTTGAGATTCAAAATAGCCGGATTTTTCAAATACGTCAGTAATAATCAAAGCATTTTTTATTCTATCTAAAAGATCTTGTTCAGATCGGTTCTCTTCGTTAGTTTTAAGGCTAAAAATATTTTGATAAGAATTCCATTCGTAAACGTAATCGATATCGGAATCGTTCGAAAAAGTTGGCAAAAAGTTGTACTTTTTATCGTCATACTCAACTTTAAAATTAATAAAATATGTCAGTGGTTTCCGACTGACTAGATACGCTGCCAAAAGACCAGCTCTATCAACTCCGGCATTCCGTAAATACTCTAAATATGTACACAAGTATTTGTGATAAGTCTGAGCATTAGTTTGGCATTCCAAACTGCAAAATAGAACATCAGGGCAGTCTTTACAAGGGATTAAGTTAAAGCTTTGTTGTAAACAGTAATCACAATGACTAGACGTGCAATCAGTTAACAGAGTTTTCGCATATGGCTTTTCCACCACGATTAATTCACCACATTCTAAATCAGTTGCAGCTGCGATGTAGCGCCCATATTCTTCTGTATAACATACTTTTACAGATTTAGACAAACTAGGAAATTTAGCATTCCTATTATTATTTAACGATGGTATATCTGAGAAAAATCCTTCATCTATCGAATTTTTAGATAGAGTAACTTCTTTCAATTCCTTTTCTAAATTTCCTAAAACTTTCTCTCCATCTTTAATATACTTTAAATGATCCTCAAAGCGATAATAGGATAATTAATCAATTAATTAATAAGAATCAAGCAATTACAATTATAAACGGGAATTAGCTATAAACTAATTCAATTTTTTTCAAGTACGATCACTATTTATGTTATATAATTAATTATATTATAATCACTTTGAACTTGTTAAAGTATGCTTGAAAATATGCGTCTTTGTGTCCAAGAGCTTTGCAACATTTGCATGCTCTTTGGAGAAGTTTAAAGGCTAACTCTTTAGGATAACCCTCCACTAAAGCCATATCTATATCCCTCAGACAACTTTCGTGCAATTGCATATGAAATAAACAAGCAGATCTATTGGCTAAAGCCATACTCAGTACTTCCTTTGTCTTAGCATACCTAATAGCCATATTGTAGTCTAGAATAGCATCTTCGAATTGCTTCCTTGAAAACTTTTTATTACCGCAGTTCCGGAAATTGTTTGATTTTCCATCATCTTTAAAAGATTGCGATGAGTTCTTCGACGAAATCTTTTTTTCGATAGCCAATCTCATTCGTGCATAATTCGAAGGGCAATTTTTAAACATTTCGCAAGAGAGATCATTGGTTTTATAACACATGTTCTCTTACTATTTATAGAAGTTGGAAGGAGTGATATTTTGTTGCGATAACAAACCGGTTACAAGAGTACTTTCCATTTGACCGGTTTTTATATAACTCCAGAAAGTAACTTTAATTACACACAAACGAATGCACACGGTCATATATCTACATAATTGTAAAACGCGACATTGAAGATTTATTCAAAGAAAGAAAGTTTTTTCGCATGAAGGTTTAACTATGCAACAAAAAATAACAAATTTAAGGATTAACGTAAGCTAAGATACTCCTGTATTCCCTATTGTCGTATCACTTTGAATACAGAATAAGAACTATTAGCCAGTTACTATTAGAGCTTTAAACGGCCTAGATTATCCGGACCGGTGAGCTATAATAGAATAGCCAGCTCGTTTCAAAATGCACCGGAAGTTACCTAGGCGTCCCTACTAACTCACAATATTTATTTAATAGAAAAGATAAAAAAAATAATTTATACATTTTTAAATAGAAAATTATAAATAAAATGCTTCTAAGTGAAAAAAATGATAAAAATATAGTGTAATGTTATTATGCAAACAGATGTCGCTAGTTTCGCTAAAAATATTCAAATGAGATTCATTTCTTTGTGAACGACTCATGAGGATTTACAACGCTCGATTTTAACCGTTCTAGACCTATTTCAGTCGTTTTCGATAAAAATCAAGGCTCTTCAACATGCTATAAGACAGATCTGAGGAAATACTTGACAAAAGATGGAAATAGTTAAATCTCTTTTCCTACTCTGCGTTATTTTTCAGACGACAACTTCCTTTTCCTCTAAATACAGAAAATGCGAGAGAATAACAATTAATGACTGTAAAAATGTTGGTTATAATTATACTTTAATGCCGAATGTTTTTGGACACACGGCTCAATCAGAAACGGAAAATGCTTTTGTGATGCATCTGGTCAGAATGACCAAACAATCAACTTCGTTATGCCACGATCATGCAAAGTTCTTTTTGTGTGCTGTTGTCGTTCCAATGTGCTCGGATGCATATCCTCCAAAACCGATGGTCGTAAGACCTTGTAGAGAACTATGCGAAGAAGTCAAAAAGGATTGTGAGACTACTCTGAAGGTCTTTGGAGTTATTTGGCCAGCTGCTATTAGGTATATTTAGAAAAGAAATATATATATATATATATATATATACACTTTATAACTATGCATGCTTGTATGTGTTATGCTTGATGACTGTATATTGACTTCCTGAGTCACACTTAAAATTGCTTCTGACTGGCCTAGGAAAAGAATTCATTTGTAGTAACTCCACTTAATAATTCCTAGAAAATTGTTATTACATTGGTAGACCTGGATTTATCTCTGTTAAGCCATTATATTATTATTATTCTTCTAGCAATTTACCATAACATCAATTTACTCTTCGTAGAGAGAATCTTTCAAAGTTAAGAATGTTTTGTCAAGAGAGGCTATCAAGTTAAACTTTGTATTTTATAAAGAAACAATCGATTCCTTAAAGAATATTAAGAAGAAACGTAACAGATTATTCATAAGATCGCTCTTTTGTTTTGCTTTTTTTGCTTGTCTTTTTAAAGACTGAAGTAATATTATAGCGGGTAAGAAGAAATGAAAAAAAACCAAACAAATGTCTTAGAGCCATATTGTATTTCAAGTTAATTGAGACATATATACATATATATAGATATATATAAACATTTAACACAAACATATATAAATATGTATAAGTATAGAATAGGCATTAAGCTATATTTACAGTTCATTACTGTAAAAATTCTATATTAGCTTGATATAATAATTACCTATTAAAAGTTGAAGAAAACACAAATTTTGTCCTTATTTTGGGAAATATTTTCTAGAAAAATAGTTGACTATTTGAATCAAGTTTTTAAAAAAGTATCTCCAAACAATATTGAATAGAAGCCACCCAGAAGATTGAAGAGGTAACAAATTTATTAGTATAGTCAATATACCTATTATTCTCTATACCGTTATATTGACTCCGGAAGAGAAGGGCTAATAGTATGGGCTCTTTCTTTTGCTGATGACTTCTATTCACAGTTTTAAATTTTTTTCTATTGTAAACTAAGGAGAAGAACCGTTTATCCGTTGGATTTTATACCTGATTTGGCTAAAAGATATATATCACTATAGCTTTCCTTTTTTCACGTAAAAGCCCCTATATATACATATATATATCCCATTTTATGGACGAATACTGTGAACATTAATGATTTACTCTTAAATGGGCTTCTTGAAACAGCGGGAGTCCTACGCAACCTATCCATTATACCAAATGGATAAAAATAACTTTTCCTCCCTTGACCGTTAAGTGTCCAAGCGTTTATGTTGAAAACCCTCTGCATAGCTGGAGGCTGTATTTAAGTCCTGTAACTGATCAATCTTATGTATTATTCATCGCTCTAAAGGTTTTCTGTCTACTTGTGTGCTTCGAGTTTTAATATACAAAGCTTTTCTTAGAAATCTTACCAAAGCAAATTTTCTAAAATTTGTATTATTTCTTTTCATTTTAAATAGATGCGAGGACCTTATCTCCGAAGAAAACCAAGATGGAGAAGTTTGCATGCAACCACCTTCTAAAGATATGAGAAAGAATGATCACAGACGCAAAGACAGTAGAAACAGAGACGATTATTATACTTTTGGAAATTCTGACTCAGCTAGGAATCAAATAAATCGTTGTCCAGATAGATTTGTCTATGTACCGACGATGTCCAATAAGACGAAGAAATGCGCTATGGCATGTGATAGAGACGTGCTATTCAGAGAAACAGACAGACAGTTCGCCAAATCTTGGATGACTGCCTGGGCGACTGTCTGCTTTATTACATCATTCTTGACCGTACTCACGTTTGCTTTGGACGCTTCAAGATTTCCGTTCCCAGAACGACCCGTAGTAATGTTAGCATTTTGCTACGCAGCCTATGCAATTCCGTATATAATTCGAGCTATTGTCAAGACGACTGCCTGTGGTAAAGAAAATAACAGGTTGTTATTTTTTATGTTTCTGCATTTTTTCAGATAGAGATATAAATACAAAATGATTGTAGAGGTTAAAACAGGATCGTTTAAATAGAGAGTGAGTAAGGGAGAGAGAGAGAGCGAGAGAGAGAGTTAGCGAGTGAGTGAGCAGGATATATAGATAGCAGAAAAGAGAGTGAAAGCAATGGGGAAAGATTAAAGTATGGAAGTAGTTTGCTGAAAATTTTACTTCTGACTTGTTTCAAAGATAAATTTACAGATTTTTTCCCACTCTTTCCTCTACGCTATAATAGTAAAGAACAAGAAATAACATTGATCTTATATAACTTGAGTTATATAGTATTCATTTGCTTTCTATTGTATAATATGCTTAAACATGAGAAAACAAAGAGAGAGAGAAAGAGAGTAAATTTATATTGATTTTATAAGCCAAAGTTTTTCTTTTAGGTAAAGAAATAATTTGAGTAGAAGGAGTTTATCTTGATATTATATAAACAAATAATTTATGTGTTTTGTTATAGAATTCTTAATATTTTCATATATTATTTAACTTTACTCATCTCTTTTCTCTATATATATACAGATTATACACGCTTCAAGATGGTTTTGATAAGCCAGTATGTTTAGTCATATTCATCTTTTTATATTACTTTGGAATGGCTGGTGCAATATGGTGGACCATACTTACTTTTACATGGTTCCTGGCCGCCAGAAAAGGATGGGGTAAAGAATCTATCGCCAAACTCTCAAATTACTTTCACATAGTGGCTTGGGTCTTACCGGCTGTTCCCACAGTTGTTGCTATAGTTGCACGAAAAGTGGATGGAGAGCAATTAACCAATTTATGCTATGTTGGTGGTCATGATCGTACGGCCCTCTTGGGTTTCGTTATCGTACCGTTGTCAGCCTTATTGGTTATCGGTACTTTATTTATTTTATCCGGTTTTTGTGGTCTATTCAACTTGAGGAGACATCCTCCCCCCGATCCTTCTTATCCTAATGAACTTAACATTAAAAGATTGGAACGGCTTATGGTAAGATTAGGCTTGTTTGCCGTCTTTTATACCGTTCCTACTATCGTCGTATTGGCCTGTTATATTTACCAATACACTTATATGGAAGAATGGCGAACGAAGGCAATGATGTTGAGACCTTGCCCACATCAAAGTCATTGTGCGCTCCAAGCTTCAATACCTGAAGTTATAGTATTCGTAATTCGAATTCTTATGCAATTAATTGTTGGAGTAACAACTGGTATGTGGATTTGGTCATTTAAAACATTATACACTTGGCGTAGAGTATTATGCTGTAAAAGTGCTCCAAATAAGCCAAATTCTCAAACTCTTCAACCTCTAAGACAACCAGCCAGCAGTTCGAGTGGCAGAACTGGTTTTACTGGACATACTTATCAATTACCACCGACTTCAACACATTTTAGGCCTATGACAAATTCATACATTAGAACTCCAGTTAATTTATAATTGAAAGAAGCAAAAAAAAGGAACAAAAACAAAAAAAAGGACAAAAAAGAGAATACGCAGTCTTTTATTTTTTCTTTTTTTCTTTTTAAGAAAAAAAAACACAAGAAATTTTTGTACTGTAAATGTTGGCTTGCTATTTGAGTTTTTTTTTTCTGCTAATTGATTAGTACATCTCTTCCTTGTTTAGACTTTGTAGATGAAAATTAATTGTTAGTCTCTTTTTAAAAAATTTTTTTATACATTCTTTTGTTAGATAAGTGTTGCATGATGTAATCAAATAAATAAATCAAAATGAAATAGCCTATATATATATATATACCTGTTTATGCATATACACTGTATAGGCGTATTCTAAAACTTCAAACATTGTTTGTTTTTTTCACTCCTCTCTTCTCGAGTATAAAAAGCCTTTTTCCAAAGGTCTTCTATTATCATTCAGATAGAGTTGAATTAAAAAAAAAGATGGTATCTTTTACAAAGTTGTTTATTGACTATAAGAAGACCCTTTTACCGTTACTATTCACTCTATAAAAGGGTCTATCTTACATCTAAAAAGAATATTTACTCTCCATCCATCATGCGTTTATAACAATAAAAAGAAAAAAAACATTGCCTTTATCCTTTTTCTATATGCAATATTTAGGTTTGTCTATTGAATTTATCTAATAAAAAGAGGATTAAATAAAGATTGACAATTTATAGACTGATTCGAGTTGATTATATACAATGCAGGCTAAATAATTTTCCCTTTTTACGAGCAGTACAACCGTAAAAAATATCTGGTGCAATAATATTAATACTAATATATATGATATATGGATTATTACACGATATACAGTATATACATATATATATATATATTTGATATATATACTTAATTATAAGCAGAACGTATCATGTTCAAGTCAAAGGAACTATAATTGCATGCTTAGTTACGGTTGGTTGGCTCGAATGGTTTATCTATATACATGCACTTATTGTTTATAAAATAAAAGGAAAAAAATACGAGCAACAAAAGTATTTGAAACAGAAAATTCAGCTTATTTTTATATTTGGTAATATTCTGTTTTTCCCTTTATAGAGTATATATTTGCATGCACTTGATTTATGGGTTTACTAGATTCAATGCTTTAGGATATTGCCTTATACTAAATAATTGGATGAGTTTGTATAAAGAATCAACATTGGTAATATTACTACTAAAAGTTATTTGTAAAAAGTGTTTATTGTCTAGAAAGCAAAAACTTATTCATTCATCTATTTTAACATTTCTGATATATAATAATATTGATATTATCTTTAGTATCATATCTATATTTTCTGTATTTTTCTTTTTATAAATGACAAATTGCTTTGAATTGAGATAAACCTGTTTTTTCTAACATCTGGATATTATCTAAAGGTGGAAAACAACTCCTAGGATTTTTACCCTTTTCATTTTTATTTTTATTTTGTTTGGAAAAGATGAAGGGGAGAATAGGGGAGTGGGTGGTTGTGTGCTGGTGGTGGTGGTGGTAGTGGTAGTAGTAAGAGAGTAGTGGGGGGGTGGCGTTACAGGAGATTCGTGGTCATAAATTTTGTTTAATATAAACATTGAAATGTATATAGATATTATACACGTTTTGATAGGTGAAATAATGGTCAATTTAAGGTATTATCTTAATAAACAATTGGTTATAAATAGGTAATTATGTAAATATTATCAGGAAAAGTTGATTTTCATACAGAAATATTAGGATTCTATAAGAAAAACAATTTAGTTAGGGTTAAGTATACAAATGTTGGTATTCGTTCTTTGTTTCTATTCAAGGTAGGTCAAAATATTTGCTGTTTAACTTAATATTTTAGTATATTTCTCTTTTACTGTCAAAAATTATGATTGATTGGCACAACAGAGAAAAATAGAGTGCCTATTGTTAAAAATAGATAAAATCGACATTTTATTAAACTTTTATATGCTAAAGATGAACTTTGTAACCTTTGCTATAAAGCATAAAGTTGAGTTGATTGCTTAAAAAGGGAGAAAAATATCATAATTTTGTATTGAAACTATCCGATTTGTTTGTGATATGGATGATAAGACTAATGGACCTTTAAAATTTTCATGTGCTTTAAAAAAGAGCTTATTGTTCGATTAAGGGAAAATGACTCTTTTAATTACCCATTTGACATTTTTATATGCAAATTAGATGAATATATTAGGTGTTCAGATAATATAGACATCTAAATATTTTATGAGATATCATTTACGGTTTCACTTTACATTGTAACTTCTAAAGCGCCGACAGATTATCTTCTAATTATCGTAATATCTGTGACGATTTACAATGTAGCTCGTTTTCTCAACGAACCGCAATAAAACAAACATTTGCGGTCTAACGCACGTCGTGACCTACTTTCTTACTGCATAATAAATGACTGTCATCCATCAATTTTCTCACAGACGACGCTTACTCATCTCAGGGGAGAACGTCTGTTTGATTTTCGTCTTTATTTAGGAATCCTATACGATATTATCGAAATTGTAAATTTCCTCGCATACGATCTTTCAGGCCTACTTTAACTTTTATAAACATTCCTCTTATACAGAAGCGTATTTTTACAAAACAGGCTGGAATTTATTTTTAGAAAAATCTGGAAAACGAAAACCCTCTCGTTATCTGCAAAAACGACTAGTTTATCTCGGGAATCGGTTTTTATCAGTATTAGACGATCAACATATGTTCTGCTTTCTTTTGCTCTCGACATTTTTACAGTTTGCTCTCTTAATATCCGCTAATAGTTCAGTAAATATTTGTAGGATATCAAATTGCTATTCTTTGAAAATTAATTTGAAAATGGCGCGCTTCCTGGACTATGCAATAATAGAACAAATTTTGGTGAATGGTTTTGCTTTCGCAAAAAATGGCCACCCTTATTCTTGATAACGGTGCTTACGAAATCAAAGTTGGTTACACGACTGATGAGAATCCGTTGTAAGTTATAATAAAAAAATTAAAGTTTCACTCCAATGTATAAGAAAAAAACTGTAGTTTTTGTTAAAATTTAAATATTTACCAATTTATCATATTATCGCCCAGCCGCTTTTTTTCCTACCAGAATTATACCAAATTGCATTTATAAAGCCAAGCACGTTAGAACAAGGTCATTCATTGGTGATTTGATTAAGGAATGCAAAGATCTCACAAGCCTGTATTATATGCTCCCATTCCAAAGGGTATATCTTGTTTATGGTTCTCTTTATTATTATTATAACCCTGTTTCGCTTTTTAGGGTTTTCTTACAAATTGGGATTTAGAGAAACAGATATGGTCTTATATGTTTTCCAAACCTGATATAAAAAAAGTTAATACGTCCATTTAAGAGATTAATTTATATAATAAAGCATTTTTTATTAGGTTGATTACGAAGATTGTAACGTAATAATAACTGAACCATATATGAATTTAGTACCAATACAGGATGCTATGGACGAAATTCTATTTGAAGAATTTCAATTTAATCGCATTTCGAGAGTGCATCGTACGTATTTCTTTTATTTCTTTTTATTAAAGTTTACTCTATATTATAATAAATGTTTGCTGAAAGAGCCAAAAAGTTCTTAATTAAATTCAATTGTATATAAGGGTTTAGAAACTACTCTTATTCCCATTAAATTATTTATTGTTCAATATTTACTTACCGGGTTTAAAAGGTAAAGAGACTCCTATGCGTTTGTTTAGGGTCGCATTGGCATCCCTTAACCCTTTTCCATCTCTTTTGACGTTTAATGATGGCTTGCTTAAATAGTTTACAAACATTGTCCCACATCTGGTTAACAGTTTACTAAATTAAAGCACGTGAAATTGGAATGAATTAAAGCTATTTATTTTGATAAAGTTAATATAAACAAAACAAAAATTCAGTATTCCATTTCCTTAAAGAACTTGTTAAATGATAGTTAAAATAGAGTAATATACTGCATTTTAACAGTATTTATCCATGTATATGTATATATATATACAGTATATATGTACTGTATAAACTGTAAATGATATATCACACTTTATTGAATATTATCATATACAGAATATTTGTTCTTTATTTCACAATTATTGACAGCATCGGATTTATCTTTTGCTAAATACCAAGCCGAAAAAGTTGACACGTCTCACTTAAAACTTATTCCTGAAAAAGATTGCATAATAATTGATTCCGGATACAGCTTTACTCACATAATACCATACGTCAAAGGAACTCGTATTGATCAAGCTGTTTGCAGGTTTGCTCTATTTAATAGATCGAATGTTAAAAATAATAAAAATTATTATTTTTAGAATAAACGTTGGAGGCAAAATTTTAACAAACCATTTAAAAGAAACAATTTCATATAGGTAATCATTTGTCCTTTTCCCGTTTACCTCTTTCTCCGATAGATGGAATTACCATACGATGTATTTTTTTAAAGGCAAATGATGATGATGTCAGAAACTTATGTTGTCAATCAGATGAAAGAAGATCTATGTTATGTAAGTTTGGATTTTAACGACGATTTAAAGCACAGCAGGTAAAAGGAAAAAAGCTATTTACTTTATCTTGAAGAGAGAGCTAATAATGTCTATTTTCCAATTGCTTTCATTTTGTTTCTATCATACACCTTTTAGATCGAATTACCCAGAAAATAAAATCGTCAGAGAATATGTTCTACCAGATTTTTCAACACGGCAAAGAGGTGTCGTAAGATATCCATTAAGCAAGAAACAATTAAAAGAACAAAGTGATCATGTAAGATTAATTAAAAACTCGAAATGCTGTTCTGTTTGTTGACTAAACTCTTAAATAAATTAACTAGGAACAAGCTGTGAAAATGAACAACGAGAGATTTTCGATTCCAGAATTACTCTTTAATCCAACAGATGTCGGATTTACCGAAATGGGAATTGGAGAAGCTTTAGTAGATGTTTGTAATAGGTTTCCGTCAGGTATTCCTTTTCTATTAACCTTTATTCAAGATATTCAACAATTTAAAACTATTTTCAGAAATTGCATGTAATTTATACGCGAATATTCTTTTAACGGGTGCTACTTGTAAATTTCCTGGTTTTGCTAAAAGACTGTAAGTACACTCTTTTACTTGTTTTATATTGTTAAATTTTTGGCAAAATATCAACTGACTGCTCTATTATTACCATTTTTTCACTTAAATGTTTCAGATTACGAGAAATTGAACCTGATAAACCTGAAACTGTTCCGTTTTGCGGTGTTTTCGATGTTACAGAGTAATTTTAATTTTAGATACTTTATAATATATTATTAAGTTTAATTTTAAAATCTCTTCTATAAATAAAGTCCTCGTACGTACGCGTGGAAAGGTGGAAAATATTACGAAGAAAGTGGAAAATTCGCCAAGCATTCAGTTTCCCGAAAAGAATATTTAGAATATGGTCCCGATATTTGTCATCAGCGATACGATGTCTATTCTTATCATGGATTGCAAAAAGAGTTGGGAAAAAGCTCTTGAATTAGCTGTAAATAGTCTGTATATGTATATATATATAGTGTATATATATGTATATATATTTATGAAAATTTTCTGTATCAGGTACTAATAATCCATTTTTTTCTCTTTATCTGTCTTTTTTCTTTCTTTACTTTTAGTTTGTTTCCTACTTTATATTTTTTTATTTGAATATTTTTTCCATAAGTTGACAGCCTTTTTTTTTCACTTTTTTATTGAGAAAACTAAAAATAAGAACAATTCATCACTAAAAATAAAACATTGATATTTCATCTTCGTACGAATGTAGGATGTTATTTTTTTTATGTTTTTCTCTTTATATCGATAATCCCTTGAAATGGAGCCCATAATTTTCTTTTTAATTATATAGTTTTATACGGAATATTGAAAAAAAACGAAGAGAAAATGTCTATATACGATATCATAAATATATTTAAATCTGAGTTGAAAATTGGAACGTGCTGATACTTCTATGATATATGAATTTAAGAGTATGCTTGATAATGATGATAATAATAGATAATAATAACAGAAAATGTAACTAAATACTGTCTATATATATATATATATATTCAGTATATATAAATTTATAATGTATTTATATATATATACTTAAAATAATTTAAATGATGTATATTTAGATAAATAGGCATATTCAAACTCTAACAACTGTTATCATTGCTATAAATTGTACGGAAAAAAAGACTGATTAGTATTTTTTAAGTTATTACCAATTTCAAAAATTTTCCTCCTTTTTATACTTGATTATCAATGTTCTTGAATTTTCAACATTTTGAAGTATTGATTAGTATAAAAACATTAAATATGATAATTAAGCCCAAAATACGAATTCTGCTATTTGAACCATACATCTTCTAGCTGCATCGGCTATGTTTATGGTATTATCTCTTAAGAATTTTTGTGCTAATAGGCAACCAGCGGGTTCTATTCGGGAAATCGACTTTTGCACTCCCAACGTCTTTGGCTTTAATTTAAGGATGTGTTCGCAAATTTGCTGACAAAATTCTGCGGCTGGGGCGAGTCTGTTTGTCTTATGGAGAACTACAAGCACTCCGGATGTTCCAATAGTACATTTTAATTCTGATTTTATAGTACCATCAATCTCTCCTCCCACATGAGACTGACCAGTAAATCTTCGACAAACTGCCCCACGAATAGCAACTTTACTGTTTATTTTATTGCCCAATTGCTCAAAGTGATCACTTAGGGGGAAATTGTCAGGTTCTACCTTGAGGGCATTGAGAGCCGATTCTGTAAAATTTAACTGAAAAAAGAAAAGAATAGTTTGCAAAAGACGACATCTTAAATATAGCACTGGTTATACCTTTTCAATCTTTCTCTTCTTAAATTGATGTAGAGTAAATTGTGCAACTTTGAAGAGGAACTCGATAAGCATAGGATTATTTTTTGCCGTAGCCTTCTCAACTCTAACCTTTATTAATACGTGAGTGTATTTATCTTGTATGTGTATAACTCTCGTTACTCCATCTTTCCATCCATCATCTTCTGGAATATAGTCTGCAATCGTCTCCTCATCGTCGTCTTCATCTTCGTCCAACTTAATATGTGGATCGCCGACAACGGGTTTTATGTCGGGTAGTTCCGATTTAGGCCTTTCAGTATTCAGAGAAGAGGTTGAAGAACCTATATAATCTTTTCGATATCCGGGCACTGCTTCTTGGAACCTGTCATGTAAAGCGTCGCTTATAAGTTTTTGACTTGACACTGAATCTTGAACTTTTGCTGTGGTTACAGAAGACTCTTCGCTCCTCTTCAAGACAGAAGTAGTTTTAGTAGAAGACACCTGAGAAGTAGCCTTAGCTTCCATACTTTTTTCTTCTAATTTTTTCTTTTGCTTTTCAATTGCCTTTTGAAAAGATTCATCAGTATTTTTCAAAACTGAAGCGGGTTTAATCTCCTTTACTGCAGGCAGTACAGGAGGTGGTTGAGGAATAGCTACAACCATGTTCTTCCTATCTTCATTTGCTGTTGAAGTTGTGCCGTCTACCTCTGAAGTAGGAATTACCAATGAACTTTTAGCTTCAAGTTTTCTCGTTTGCTCAGTCTTTTGAATAGATTCATCAGATTTCTTCACAACTGCAGTGCTGGTAATCGTCTTAGTGACTGAAACAGATTGCTCTGCTTTCGCTGAAGTTTGTAGGAGTGCGGCGGCAGGTGAAGTAGAATTTAAGTCCACAAATGACGAAGATGAAGAAGAACTCGAAGAAAACTGGTTTTTTGTTTCAAAATCCATATCGGTTACTGGTGAACTTCCACGAGATCCTTCGTACTCATTGATAACGTCGTTCCGTATTACTACTTCCTCTTCTTGCTTACTATAAGACATTGGAGGTCTGAAAGCTACTTCGGGTATAATATCAGTAGCTGGGGGTGGTGGGGTATAAAATCCAGTCGAAACTGGTGACAGCGCTTGCCCACTTGGTTGTGTATTGGGAGGGCTGGTCGTAACGGGAATAAATGGAGTTCTAACCGGCTCAGGGGTGCCACTTTTCCCCGAATCGTAGTTTATCTGACTGTGAACGTGAGCTTTTCTCTCAAGACTGCTCAGAACTAATTTTCTTGTTGCATCCTCTTCTGTAACGAAGTTGTAGGGAGCATTTCCGTTTATGGAGGGTACCATTTGCCGAGTTCGAATCTCTTTAATTTCTGATTTTTTTATGTCAATTAGCTTTTGCTGTTGTTGTTGTTGCTGTTGTTGAAGAGCCATCTTTTCTCTCCATACTCTTTCGGCCTCTTCGGCTTTCCTTCTTTGCTCTTCCATCATTTGTTCTTGAAGTAGTTTCTGTTGGTCGTACTGTTCCTGAAGAAGTCTTTGTTGTTCAAGTTGCTGCTGCATTACTAATTCTTTTTCTATCTGCTGTTGATTAAGTTCTTTTTTCAATTGATCCTTAAGATCGTTCTGCTGTTGAAGTTGATCCTTTAGAATTTGTATTCTCTCTGTTTCCTTTTGCTCTTGTAATAATCTTAATTGTTCTTTCCATTGATTTTGTTGGAATTCTCTAGTTTTATTCTGTTCAAGGCGTTGTTGTTCAAAATCATAGTGTTGCTGCTCCTGTATTTTTTTCATTTGCAGCATTTGCTCTTCAACACTTATTTGCTTTCTTCTTTCCTCTTCTAGTTGCTGCTCAAGCAGTTGTTTTTGTCTTTCGTAAGCTAACTCCTGATCTCTCGATAGACGTTCTTGCTCTAATCTCTGTTGATCAAACTTTTCTCTCCAAAGTCTTTCCATCTCTTCCATTTGTCTTCGATGCTCTTCAAGAAGACTCTCTTGCAATATTTGCTGTTGAGTTATTTGCTGCTTAGTAATTATTTCTTTTTCTTGTGTTTTCATCATAAGTTTCTGCTCTAATTCTCTCTCTAAAATTGTTTTTTGTATTTGTTGCTCTTCAATCATCCTAATTCTCTCAGCCTCCTGTTGTTCCTGTAAAAGTTTTATTTGTTCTTGCATTTGTATTTGTTGCATCTCTTGAATTTTTATCTGTTGTTCTCTTTGCTGTTCAAAAATAAGCAATTGTTGATCTTGCGCAGCTTTCATTTCGGATAATTCTATTTCTAAGCGATGCTGTTTCTCTCTTTCTTCCTCCAATTGCTCAGCAAGTAATTGCTGTTGTTTGAAATGAAGTGCTTGTTGTTCTTGAGAATATTTTAACTGTTGCTGTTGTTGAATCTCAAATTTCTCTTTCCATATTTTCTCAATTTCATCTAGCTGTTCTTTTTGTTCTAATATCCATTTTTCGTGTATAATATGAGTTTCAGCAGTTTGTTTCTGCTCTTGTTCAAGTTTAATTAAAAGCAATTGTTCTTGCATTTGTTGACTTTGATATTCTTGCATTTTTAGCTGTTCTTCCCTTTCCCTTTCAAAAGCAGAACGTTGTTGCTCCTGTTGAAATTTTAGATCGTCAAGCTCTCTCTCCAGATTGAATTGCTTTTCTCTTTCACCCGACAATTGCATTTCGAGTACTTCTCTCTGTTTCAAGTGTATTTGTTGCTGATCTTCAATAAATCTCTCATGTTGTCTTAATTGCATGTCAAATTTCTCTTTCCATAATTTTTCAATTTCACTGAGTTGTTGATTATTATCAATTACAATAGTTTCTTTTGTAACTATTTCTGGAAAATCAGTGTTTGTGCTATGTTCAACTGTAATTGTTTCTTTTTTTTTTTCCACCTCTTTTTCATGCGTGCTGTGATCAATTATAATAGTCTCTTTAGTAACCACCTCTGGAATTTGAAAATCAGTGTTTGTGCTATGTTCAACTGTGACTTTTTCTTTTTTTTTTCCCGCATCTCTTTGTTCAAGGAGAATTTTAACCTGAAGAAAAATAACTCACTTATCTTTCAATTGAATGAAAATGAGAGAAAACTAGAAGGTTAGAATAGACTTTAAGATCGATAGAATATGTTTTTTTAAATAAATAAATATAAATTGTTTATTCACCTGCTCTTCAGCATATTTTTGAACAGACTCGCCGCTGGTTACTTTTAGTTCTTCTTGTATTTTAATTTGTCGTTCCAATTGATGTCTTAAATGTTCCTGTTGAATGAGTTGTTCCTCTAGAATTCTTTTCCTTTCAATTTCTTGTTGTTCTTGCAACATTTTCAATTGGTTTCTCATGTTTAATTCCTGTTCTTCATAATGTTTTTCTGCTTCTTGCCTTTTCAACTCAATCTGTAATCTCTGAGACTCTTGTTCACTTTTTAGCCTCTCTATTTGAATTTCAAGTTCTCTTTGCCTCTCTTTTTCGACATTTAGCTGACCAATAAGAATATCCTTCTCGTGAACATACTTTTCAATGGATACGACATTTTCTACCACTTCTTCCTTTTTCTCAACAACTGCCTTTACTTTGATGCTGAGTGGAAGACTTTCATTTATTGGTACGGAGAACTGCAAAAATCAATAAAGAGAAGCATATAAGACTTGATATTGTATAGCATTTAATAAATAGAACCGCATAATCTCTTAAAGAAATTACGAAACCTTATTAATTATGATAGCTATTTTACTTACATGTGTGTACTTTTTATTCGCCTCCAGATTAAGTGACATTTTCGTAATAAATCAATTACTTTTTGATAATCTTGAAAAAATTTGAACCCGCAGCATTCAATTACCGAAGAAGGGCGTGTTTGTATACCCCGTATGTTGGTGATTCAAAGGCAAGTATTGACTCTGAAGGTCCGCATTTTTTAATATCATATAGTAAAATATTAAAGGGCGTAGGTAGTGACTATAGTATGAACAAATCGCAGTTTAAACAATCACCAGATGGCGTTCTAAAAAAAGAAACGGTGAGAAATAAACGAAAAGGGTGTTTTTTTATCTAATTATATAAGTTGTCAATGCATCGATAAAGAGTTTCAATAAATTATAAATACGTGTGTTTATTAGAGACTCTATTACGTAAAATTCTTAGAAATATATCGCGACAATGGTCTTTACTCGAGTTCTGAAAGGACAATTAGTACTTCTAATCGGTTTCCTGAGTTCTATCTTATATATATCCACTATAAGCTAAGAAGAATGGCTTTAGCGTAGAGATAGATATAAGGTGATTGATACTTATATAGTATCATAATAACAGTAAAGTTTAGTTTTAACAAAATAAATCCTATTAGTATATCCAATATATAGTTTTTCGTCTGGTGTTACGACCTAATTATGCTTGAGGTTGCCAACCTTGTCATTCAAAAAGGTTACTTTTATTACCTAGTATCGATTGCTTTTTCTATTAATAAATAACTCCAAACTTATGAACTAGTTTAATTTTGCAGTTTATTTACATACTGGGTGAAATTTTACCTGTAACATTGTTTCGTCTGGTTATCGATGTCGATCATCGCATCTGATAATTTGCTTAAACTAAGAACTTCCTAGAAGGAAGCAGCATTCTTAATTAATAGAAGTAATGTTATGTAATTGGCGAATCTGGCATTGTTTTGATTTTTCTTTAGTAGATCCATTATTGTTTTCTTCTATAACATTCTTATGGAAAAGGATTAAGGTGTATTTTTCTTTCTCTTACTGTCTGCGTATCGTGCGCATCTGTTTGTAAATTAAGTTGTAAACTTAGTCTATGTCTGATAGTCGAAATAAATTTGAAGGAAAGCATTTCATTAGTAATTCGGCTCCCTAGCTAACCTTGGTCGAAAAAAACTTGAGAATATGACTTTACAGTATTCTCTTCGATTATAGAAGAGATACTAAGATTAAGAGTATGACCGACCAGGGGATTGAAAGGTGACTGACCAAAGACTAGCAGTCGTAAAGCACTAGTAGCTGAATTGAGAATGTAAACGACGTTAACGATTTGTTACTGATTTGTTTGATATAACAAATCAGTATTCATGTCTTATTTATAAAACTTGGATGTTAAAATACGTTATTTCTTATTAACTGAGAATTTACGTATTGAAAATTCTTACAGACTTAAATTTTTGTAGTCCTTTTACGCTCTTTTGAGTAACTCTGATGCGAACCGAACTGAAATCAGCATGACGTTGGTTACATTGTTTATTCACTCGACTTGCCTAATACTGATCCCTGCAGGCGAGTTACACGAATCCGTTTTGCTGTAGATTGATTTATATTTCGTTTTAGTTTAAATTTTACATAGATCACCGACAAACAATAAAAAAGACCTGAATAAACTGAAGAACAGAATCTATAGTATATAGAATGCTGTTTCTTTTTGTCACGCAATGGCTCATTTCATAGAAATATTGATTTTGATCCTAACAGAACAAATAAATAGCTTTATTGATATTATGTAACTATATTACTTCAACGAAAGATAGTTTCTTAATTCATTAGATACGGAAATTTAAAACATCTCTATTCTGTACATGATTTACAGAGAATTGTCAAATCAAATCGCAAACATGTGTCAACTGTACCATAATAGATTTATCATTTAATAATGTATTTGTTAAATTTTTGAAATTCTTATGTTAATAATTATAATAATCCTAATTACTTTCATTATAAGTAAATATTTCCGACAGGTAAAAAGAGACAAAAGCAACGAAGGAATGAGAGAATAGAAGATATTCAACTCATAACCCCTTTTATTAAATTAAACGCAAGAGGAATGTTTAAGGTTTAGTTTCCATTGAAGATAGGGGTTTATTATTTACCTAGATCTTATACTCTTAAATTTCTTCTACATGATATTTATTGGTGAGAGTATACATGGTTTTAGTAAGTAAATTCATTAGTAAAACTAATAATGACATTCTGAAGACTTCTGAAGGTGAGTCAAGTATAAACATAAATAGCTAAGTGTTTGGGATAAAAAGAAAGATCAGTTTTCAATGTCAATTAGGTGAACATGAAAGAAATTAATGAAATGCCTAAACAGTACCATATACTTTTTTATCACCGTGAAACATAGTTTTTAAAACTAAAAGATATTTTCGAAGTTTCATATATGAGAATATAAATCGAAAGAATCAGGATCAAAATCCGGTAGAGTTGTACATATGGTTCAAAGTATTCTAAAGTCAAAGCATCTTATCAATATGGAGGAAAATTTTTAATAGGAGCAAAGTTTACTACATATTGTTCATGCTATAAATATACAACATACGCTAAAACGTAATGATTCAGTAAAACATTTTTATGTTATAAAGCAAGCTATTTTAAATAGAAAGAAAAGTATTTTAGATGAAAAGAAACTAATAAACATTTTATGCATAAATTAAAGTCGATATTGAGAATAATATATATTTCTAGGAAATAAAGCTAACAAACTTCAGAGGTCACTAGGAATAAAATAAAAAGAGATAAATACTCAATCAAAAATAAGATACAATAGAGGAGATTTTGATAGATGTTAGCGTGTCTAAGGTACAATAATTTTTTTTAGAGGTTTACCCCTTGAGCGGCTTCTTTAATTTTATGTCAAAAAAAGAATAGCATATCTAGGTTTATTTAGAATAAAACACTAGAATTCTCAAGGTTATTTAATAATGAAAACTTCGCTTTCTCTTTCTCACTTTCTCACTCTCCCTCGCGCTCTCTCTCTCTCTCTCTCTCGTTGCCTCTTTCGCTCTCAGTTTTATCTATTTTATTCTCACTTCACGATTCAATGAATAGATAGAAAATAAATTGAAGTTTATTTTTTAAGTTCGCATTGTTTATCTCCACTTCCTCTTTTTCTTTGTTGCCTTCGTTCCTTTCTAATATAGAGACTATATTTTTAATCGAATTTATGGTAATTTCTTGAAAAGTTAAGCTTGTCTAAAAGTGCAGACCATATATTCTTCTCATAAGGGAATTTAAGAATATCTTGTTACTCACCTTAGATTGATTAGATTTTATTGACTGAGAGAATATATTTTGAAAGGTGCTCAAACGGTTATTGGAAAAACGTGTCCTATTATTCAGTCTGTAAATGAGAAGCATTGAGTAGATTTTAACGACGAGAGATGTGTCAGCCAACCGGCTTCAATCATTGTCTACATTATGGATATCATTTCCAAGAAAGTCTGTACGATTTTCTTCTGTTGGATAATTTGAAACATGTTACTGTTGATGTATATTAGTATATATGTTTCTTATAAAAAGCAGAAAAAAGAGACACAGGAATAAGAGTTAATAAGCCTGAATTTTCTTTTAGCCTCTCCTTAACTTTTTCCGAGAACGCTCTCATTACTTTTATATATATGATATAATGGCTAGTTCTGTCCTAAGGGTATTAATGATAATTTAATTAGTTATATATAAATATATATAGTGTATATTACAGCCATAAATAAGTATCATTTGTTTAATTTAATTATTAAGAGAGAAAAAGAGGAAGAGGAAAGAGAGAGGGAGGGATGGATAGATGGATAAATGGTTAGATGATAAATGTCACAGAGTGTCAAACAAGTTGTTGTAACTAATACTTTAGTATATTTGGGTCATGAAGTTTTATAGCTCACTTTTTCTGAAGTGTACTAATAAATGAGACATTTTATAGATATAAAAATCACTTTTTGACTAATGACAAATGTCACGTGAAAGAAAGAAAAATATTACTAAAATATTTAAAATAAATGAAAAATTCAATTAAAATAAAAATTAATTGAATTATAAGAAAAACAGAAAACTTGTACTCTTAGTAATAGTCATTTCGCTATCATTCATTCCCCTGTTTTTGACATAGTTAAACTGCTCGGATAAAGAAGGGAAAAATGATAAAATATAGATAAAAAACACAATAAGAAAAGTTTGATATCGCTAAGAGGGTGAAACTAATATCAATTCCCTAAATATGTTTTTAATTATTTGCGAATGTGTCTCACGATCTCTGCTTGTAGACAGTCTGTCTACTTCGCGCTTATAGTAATGGAAATAAATATATATCTATATATGAGAGGTTTTTTAATGAAACTGTATTTTTTTTCTTTTGTTTCTCAAACCCAGATATAGTGGTAACCATATTTGAACAGTAACTAATTAATAGGCAATAGTTGATTATATTATTCCCAGTACTAACCCAACTCGACACAATTCAACTGAAAGCTTTTTTATTGTAGGAATTATTTCTAATTTAAGAGTCCTTGTAACGCGTGTAAATTAAAATTTTTCTATCAATTATATTATCTATATCCTTTGCGATTTCATGGTTTTTTTTACCTCTTCTTGTCTATCTGTTTGTCTGTTTGTCTGTCTGTCAATCAATAATAATTTTAAACAGTTACAAAAGATGTATGAATATGTTTATTTTATGAAGTAAATAGACCCTTCAAATACTACTTGTAGCAAAGATAATAAGAAATAGAAATTATTATTATAATATTCAGGCATCTCTTCTTTTCAGAGAAGAAAAACAACGTAGATCATCTGAAAATTATCAACTTTTCTTCCGGTTTTCAAAAGTAAAAATGCCTTTTAATGAATTGTAAATTTCAAATGATTCTTCAGGCAAACGAGTGTTTTTTGTGCAAGTGATGCAGCGGAATTTCTTCTGTATGCTTTATTCTAACTCGAACGCTGGTCATTGATGTTCTTAGGCTATTTCTATCGTCAAAAGGTCTTCTTAATCTAAAGCATCTTCTAGTCAAAGAGATTAAAGTTTTTCGAAACGTCGCATTAAATGAAGTATAGAGTAGAAAGTTTAAAGCAAAATTCATAGCTTGTATAATATTAACCAAGTTGCAGCAAGCCATTAAAAACTTGCCTTTTCCTTTCGATGGTGATCTTATATTTAAAACTAAATCAATGATTTCTGCAGGTGTCATTAGTAGGATAAAGAGAAGGATAATAACGATAAGAGTAATCGTAACGTGTTTGCTGTGCGTCGTAGGATGAGCATGAGCACATATTCGAGAACGTAAAACACTCGATAGGTACAAAACTTTCAAAGGAAATTGGAAAACATTTTATAAATTACTGATTTTTGATATTAAATAGAAAAATATTGATAATTAGAATAAACTTAAAGTGGTGGTCAAAATTCTTTTGCATATTCGATATATTTAATTGGTAAATGACGTTTTTCAATAGTCAATAGGAGATCAAAAGGTAAAATTTTCTTTTGTTCCTTGTTGTTTAATAGTCTGCTAATCAATGATAAAAGAGAGAAAGAAGAAGGAATGAGAGAGAGAGAGATGGAGGAAGAAGGAATCACTTGATATGATTGTTTGCGTAATAATATAAACAATCGATTCTCGTTTAATTTTTCATAGTTTAAACTCTCTCTCTCGCTCTCTCTCGCTCTCTCTCTGTGGCTCTTGTTCCATTGCCTTCCAAAACAATCCTATACTTAAATTACACATAAATAAATAATTATGAATTTTTTTGGCGAATTTCAATCGTTCTTTTTTTCTATTTTCTACCCTTTTCTGTTACTAAGCTACGATATATTATATTTTTAATAATTAGTAATTACTACATACTTAGTTATCTATAATTTGATTATTAGTATATTCATCAACGAGAGTTTTATTCTTCTTCAGTGGATAGGCGGCCGAGAGGAGACAAGAGAATTGGAAAAATTACCAGATGATGATAGCTATTACTTTGGGAAAAGTTATACTCCTTACATCTTACATGACATAGTGACCTATTGAAAAATAACGGTAATTTTACATCTTCTTCCTTACTCTCTGATTTTTGTTTTTACTTTTCCCATCATTTAAGATAAATCATAAGAGAAAAGAATTTGATTGATTATATCCTCTGGGCCATGAAATCTAAACAATAAGCTAGTAGGCTAAATCACGATGCTAAACAATATAGTGTTTCTTTCTGTCTTTTATATGAACAATAACAAATTAATCAATGTTCATTATATTTTATTTATTCTCTTTTCGTTAAAATCCTATTTTGGGAAATATGCAAGATTAGTAAATTCAGCACGCCCAAAACTTTTTGTCTTTACGAAAGTAATTCGTCTTAATTTAATTAATTTTCGTTATAAATCAATCAAACTAGTAAGATAAAGGAGAAGGAAAGTATTGATTTATATATTTTCTCTCCCTTTGTTTTAAAAGAGTTGAAGGATAAGTTTTTGAGAGCAGATGACCGTCCGGGGATTTTATGTTAAAGGGAATGTAAGACAAGCACTATGAAATGAAAGTAAGTTTCTCTCTCGAATTGAAACGTTCGTCTCCCTCTCTACTTTTTTTTTTTTTACCTAAACCCAAGATAGTAATAATTAAAATACAAGAATACGTTATACAGAACGACTAGATAGACTTTTTTGCGGATATAGGAAGAAAAGAGAACTATCGTCGCTTTTTTTCGTTTCTATGTGTTCTTTTTTTATCTCTATCTTGCATTAGTATCTTTCAGCTATCATGTAAGATTGTGACTGTACAGCTTTGGAGTTACATTCTGTACAGTCTAACATCTTACGTTTTTGTTAGATTTAATAAAAACTATATAAGTTTATATGATACTACATATAAAATACTTAATTATTTAGGCCATGAACATGACCGACCAATAAAATTTTCTTAATCTATCATTTACATGCTGTACGTTTATCAACAGCATACGAAAGAAGTTAGATACCTTTGTGTAAAATATAGTGTCAAAGATTTGTTTAATGACTGACGAACATGCATTATTCTGTATTTCAAGTTTGGATATTCAATCTCTCTCTCACTCTCTCTCTGTCTTACGCTTTTATTACAAATCTCATTCTCATTGCCTCTTCTTCATTTATTTTCTCCTTCTTTTTTGTTATTTAAATTTTACTTTTCGTTTTATATTACTTGGCTAAAAATGATACAATGGCTACAGTCTTCTATAAATAGTTCTTTTGCACATCAAGTACTCATTTGACTTATCTTCGTAATTAAAATTGACATACCAATTATATATATGAATAATTATTATGCATATGAATAACTGCAAAAGAATTTCTAAGAATTGAAAATTAAAAAATACTTATCATTTTGTCTCTAAGAAACAAATTTCTAGCAAGATAGGGAATTGTATATGAATAATTTTAATAATTTTCCAATTACCTTTGATTAGTTGAAAATTACAGAAGCCCATTAAAAGTATTGGCAGAAAGAATTTGATCCAAAATTTAAAGATGATATAAGCTAATTTCCTTTGTTTATTCATGACGAATGACGTTGGAAATACAACGTAGGATCCATTATAAGTTACGTGTGTATAGTAGAAAAAAGAAGGTATACTACAAATTATGCAGACTGGAAGTAAAAGGATTAATATAATAATATATCTCTTTGATTTGACGTAAGATTTAGCCACAAAAGGATACTTGGATATAATAAATCTAACAATACCCATTACAACAGTTATCCAAGTAGAGAGCATTACGAAAACATCCAAGATCGCGTGTCCATATTTTTGGTAAAACACACCAAAGGATTTCACTTTAAATACAAGTTGAGAATGATGAAGAAAGATTTTAGGTAACATCCATAAGCATACAAGCGTATCCGATATAGAAAGTGCTATAAAACCGAGTATGGACGTTCTCTCTAAAGAAACGCATTTTCTCATTCTATGCTGTCCCAAAACAGCTATGTTCAATAAATTTCCAATAATACCTAAAGAACATATTAAACCCGTTAAATACGGCTGCAAATAGTTTATAGCAGTTACAAAAAGATTCTGACTCTCTGTAGTATTTTGCATTTCTGACAGACGACTGCCAATAAGGGGGCGCTTTAGTGAGGCGTATTATAATGGGAATATGGTCCTAAAAATTTTTTTTTTAATATAAGCGAACATAACAAATAAGTACTTAAAATATCTGTATAAACATCTACAAAAGTGTTATACTATTCTTCCTTTACAAGACACTATACAGTGTATTTATATATAAATATAACTCTGGATTCTTTATTATAATCTTTCAACTTGGATTATTGAACTCTTCTCTTTTCGATGCATGTAATTCTTCCTTAGTAATTAATAGTTTTTCCTTTTCTCGAGCTGCTCTTTCTTTTCTTAAGTAATAAACGAAGAGTCTCGTAGGTTGGTAATTTCGACAGCATACTAAGAGAAAAGGAGATAATTATCCTAATTTACTGCATCTAAACCATAACTGGGAATGAAAGATTAGATTCTACGTTATATTCCAAAGGCTATACAAGTAATTTAAATCCGTTTTTATATTAGTATGAATAAACGAAAGAATTTGTAATAGTAGCAATGAACTTGCCAACTGATAAAGCAGCTATTATTTCAAGTAGGAGTTGTTTTATCTAATATGAGTGTAATCTATTTTTGTTTCATTTTCAATAATCATGAAATATTGTAGATACCGTATATATACTTACTATATGATATATATCTGATTTCAAATACATTAGAGAGAAAATGACATGTAGTATCAGTCATCCTTTCTGTAAATACTCGTCATAAAAAGGGTATTCTTTATAAAGAGTCTGTCCTATGTTTATAAAAAAAATGATAGTTGTGTGTATATATGGAAAGAACAACAATCTAATGATCTCATCTTTCCCCTATTTTCTACCATCTAATCGTACATCCCTATTAATATCAATTGCCCATTACGACCTTCTTACTATCAGGATATATCAGAATGGACGGGTCGTATAACCTCTATTAAATAAGTAATGTACTTGTATATTTTGATAAATATTCATTAAATTCACTAAGTACTCTATTGGCAAAGTTTTTCGACAGATCTACTAATACTAACCAAATTGATGACACATTTAAAAGGCTTCTGTCACTTTTGAACGACTTCTTGCCTTTCTGTTTTTTAAATACTGGTAAAGAAAGTAAAAGGGAAGTATTTTTTCTTTTTTGTGTTTTTTCTATTATTCGTTCTCTTTTAATTTATTTAACTGTCCATCTAAATGGCCTTTCCTTTATTGTTCTATTTTTTACTTTAAGTGACTTATAGATATAGAAAGTTGCTTGATAGATCCGTAACTTGTGACCAAGGGTTAATTTAACTGAGAAGAATTATTTTATCACATAATACTCTTGTTAAATTTTCGACATTTAGTTTGGGAACGAGACGAAGGAGAAGAAGAAAAGAGGAAAAAGGCTTTTTGTATTTGCAACAAACGAAAGGAAAATTTTACAAGATGTCTTTCTCCTTTTTCTGTGATACCAACATAAGTCATTGAATAACATATTAAGAAGTAAGGCATAAAAAAATACTAAAGAAAAAAAGACGTGATTTTTTATTTGGTTAAGGTCAAAAACATGCAAAAACAGATGTAAAACTATTGTAGAACCTAGAAGGGGTGCTTGTTATACTAAAAGAATTCACATCTTTCGAAATTGGTCCTCTCCACCCATTGTCTTATAAGCTTGGAGGCACTTTGGTTCGTCACTATTGTTTCTTAGGCATTGAAGGTACATTTTGAACATCATATGACGAGGATCAACCCATCTACGTCTTGATCTGTCCATTCCCAATTCTAGGGATTCATAGCCATCTAAAGATAAATAAAAAATGCAAATATATAGATATATGTTTATCGTCTATAAGCAAAGATTACAATAAAATAAGCATTTCTTACAAAGAAAACTGGTAATTAAATATAAAGGCAGTTTCAATTCATATTTATTTATTTAATAAGGATATATTTTAATTATTTAAGAGCGTAATTTATTAATAATTCTCTCAGAGTAGGAGATATAAAGCAAACAAATAAATATATATTGATATACATTGAACAACTTACCACAGTTGACGGCTGCCATAAAGGACATGCAGATAAGCAAAATGATAAAGGTTCTCAGCATTTTTTTCTGTCGGTTTAATTACTTTTCTCTCTCTCTCTCTCTTTCTGTTTTACTCTTTATATATATATGTGTATGTATCTGTATCTTATTTTAAGAGAAGTGTAAATTCTTTCCTCATTTTTATAGCCTTATATAGATGGATGTCTTTTGATCATCTAGAAAATAGTTTACATAAACTACTATAGTATTGCAAGATGGTTAAAAGGAAGAAAAGGTTGAATAGATCTTAAAACAAATTCTGATGCAATTAAATAGGATAGAAAATTTTCTAAATTTTCTATCACTTGTCATTTAAGTATAATACTACTTAGACAATTGAATAGATTGTTTAATACTGAATTTTATAAGGTAAATAATGTTTGCCAAAGTTTATCGATAGTTTTATAAATAACGATTTGTTAATAAATCTGATTTGGCTTGCGTCATAAATAAATAAAAGTTGAGCTTTTATTTCGGTCACGTAAACCAAACCTTTAATTATATAATTACATTGTTATCAAGATTTTTGTCAGCATATTCTACATGGTATTAACAAGCGTTTGAAATTCTTTGATAATTGTATAATAGCTATATATGGGGGAAAACTGTAAAAGAAATTTCTCTAATTAGTTTAAGGAAGAGAATAATGTAAAGAGGGGTATTGTTAAGTTTACTCTTTTTATCGGCTAAAAAGAATCTGATCATGTATATTTTTTGCTACCTTGAAAAAAGCTTATATGACATATTTTCCTTACCTTCACATTTTAATAGAAAGTAAATGTGCATAAGTAAAAGTAAATATTGGCTTATCTCATTTACACTAAATGTATAAAGTGTTTATACATATTTACGAAAATGTGTGAATATTTTTACGTTTCTACATAAACAAAGAACTTAGAAAAACACATACTTTTACATCTATTAGACTATTAAATCTGTAGAGACTGAGAGAGAGAGAGAGAGAGAGAGAGAGAGAGAAAGTTTAAATAAAAAGGTATTAATAGCTTATGCATGCGTTTAATTTAAAAAAGCTACGGTCAAGGAAAAGCACTAAAAGCTGAAAAAAGTAATCCTAAACGATTTCTTCTTGTAAGTGCAACATTAAAACTGTAAAGAGGAGCAGGGGAAGAGGTTACTAAAATTTGTAAAGTTTATATCCTTTTACTCTAATATTTTAAGTAATGAAAAAGTGATATGTGCAAACAAGGAAGAAAAGAAACAAAATAGGTAAGTGAAATCAAAGTCTGGTAGAGAAGGTAAGTAACAAATATTTGCAGAATGATTGATAAATCTAATAGTTCTCTTTTCTTTTTTCAGATATAGAAAATACTTCCTAAATCCAAAATAAGAAAACAAAGTTATAAATTAAATAACGATTATTATAAATCTATATTTTGTATGCTGGTGTAGATACTTTGTATAGCTTTTCATTTACAAATGGGCAAAAGAATCATCTATATAATAAATAAACAAGCATAAAAAGAGCTATTGATAAATTAAATGAAATAATGATTGCTAGTCTAAATATAAAGAATTTAAAAATAATAACTTATATATAATTTAAGTAAAGTCATTTGCAAAAGAGTTAGACTTTAATGGACACAATTTCAAAAAGCCTCCTGCCATATATCGCTATATGTAGTTTTAAAGTCATTTCCCCTTAATTTGTAAGTACGAGACAACGTGAATATTTATGAATATGCCAAAAAAGGACACCTCTTCATTTATATTACTTGCTTTTATTGAATTATTAATATCTTGATTAGATTTATTTTTGTGTATTTTGAAAGAAGTATAGAGAAATAATTAGATATATAATAAATAAACAGCTTAGATAGAGATGACAGGAGAAAGAGAGGGAGAGAGAGACTAGAGAATACAGAGAAACAGCCTTAAATGGGGTATTATGCTAATTTATGAATCTTGGAGATTAAATACATATGTTTTTGAAATATATGCAAAATATCGCTGTCCATGATGCAACAATCCAGTAAGAGAGTAACATCTCTGACTATCTTCTACTTGTATGTTTAATCAGCAATCTATTTGTCCTCAGCTTTAGTAAATGGAAAACAAAATGCAAAAACTATGAATTTTAATGAAGATATCAACGACAAAGTCAAGTTTGGGATAACATATTGTGTAAAAATAAGTCGAAATATAGAAAATATATTACAATCCTCTCTTAATGCACTTTCGGATGTACATCGATGCTTTTAGAGACAGTTTGACAAGTGTCTCTTAGTCTTCTTATGCCTCTCTTATTCTTTCATCACGCTCTTCTAGAATATACACAGTCTTTGTAATAAAACTATTTAAAGAAGAGTAATGAAATCCTAAAAGACAATAGAAAAATTCTTTAGATATTTGAACAATTGTTGTTTTTCCTCCATGTTTTATACTCATGTTATTTTTATAACAAAGACAAAGCTTTGTTTAAATATAAATTTTATATCGGCCATAGCTGTTCGTTTCTTTCCAGAGAAGACTGTAAACAAGATTTAGATGTTTTAATTACGCTATAAGGGTTTATTAATAGGGTACTTTATTTCTAAAAGAATGTTCACAGTTTCATTTTAAATATAGCTGCTGGGTTATTCGGCCAAGGAGCGCTCACTATTTTTTGTAATTGCGGGTAAGTAGCTATTACGAAGAAGCTTTGCTACTTTGTTTTTCCTTTCGATTAGTTTGCTAAAAACTAGTTACCATCGATATCTTATTCTCCATCTCTCTCTCTCCCTCTCTCTCTCTCTCTCTCTGTAAGAAAAAGTTTCAAAAGTAAGATGACAAACAACTATACGAATATTTTCGATATTTTCAGTAAAGTTATTAAATTTATTCGACGTCAAGAGAAGATATTTGGGGAGGGAGAAAATGCCTAAGGAAATGCAAACATTGTATAATGAATATATAGTATCTTTATTTTACAAAAATTCAATGAAGTTTTGATTTAAGCTAATGCCTTTTTCATCAATAACAAAAAATTAAATTCAGATTAAACAATAAGAGGCGAGATAATAATAGAATGTGACATAGTTGGTGGATAAGATCCTATTTTCAAACTCATAAGCGAATAGAAGATTACTTTCCCCTTTACTTTCCGTTAGTAATCGCTTAATTTAAGTCATTTTGAAATCCGATGACTCATGTTGATTAGATATCTTAATGAATAGAGACAGAGAGAGAGAGAGAAAGAGAGAGCGGAAGAGGCAAATACCTATAAAAGTTTTAATTTTGTCTGGCAAGTGACACACCCCTTTTTATGCCTTTATTATACAATATATTTCCAGCTTATTTATCGCTAAAAGAAAACTAATGAATAACTATTAACGCTGAAAATCTATGAATAAACTGTGCATTCCAAGTTTGATATCTATATGAGTATAGCACACATTCTATTATATATATGTATAGTTAAATATGATAGATTTGCCATGTTTAGCGCCATCTAGTTCGTCTACAATTTGGAACAGTATCACAGGCAACAAAATGTTATGTTGTCTACAATATTTGAATTTTTATTCTCAGTAAATAATTAATGTTTTATTAAAAGATGTAATAAAATATTGCTATAAAAATCTGTCCTAAAGGAATTAAAGCAAACGGATAACAAACGAATATAAAATGTTGATTAGCTGCTTTAATATTTATTAATTTTTATCTAAAACTTAAATAATTGAAAATGTAATACTGTTGGATATTTATTTTATTAGCTTACGATTGTCTTTTGACTTTGAGAAGAAACGTTTTTAGTTGTATGTATAACGAATTTCAAAGAATTCATTTCTTTGATACAATTATAATAATTATAAAATATATATGTAGAAAGGTAATACACTCTTCTCTTCTCTAAATAATTCCTGTTGCCTATTAAAAGAAATTTATACTTTTCAAGAGATCTCTTCTATTGCATATATAGAGTCTATTTGAAAATCTTATTCCATTTAAATTTATACTTGCATCATGAAAATTATTTAAATAAAAGATTACCAGTTGTATCTAAAGTTTGTGATACGAAGATAGAGAGAGAGTGTGTGTGTGTGAAAGAGAGAGAGGAAGAAAGAGACTTATTAATTATGAATATTAATCTGACGAATATAATGCTATTCGTAGCTATCAATCATTTTACATATGGTAAACATCACAAAAGAAAAGATGAGTTAATTGGAAGAAAAGCGAGAAATATACAAGAAACATGCGTATATAAATTACATAAGAACGAATGCTACAATGTTGATTATTTTAAGGTAAACAAATATTTGATCATTAAGTTGTAAGTGCAATTTCTAATTAGCAAATTAAAATTTTATTTATCTGTTAAAATAAAAGGCAAACAACGACTGTAGGACGAAAAATGTTCAACTTATAAATAGTTGGAAAGGGAGAAATCAGACAAAAGAAGAAAAATCATCACTCTTTTATATTCAACTGTGTAAATCAGCTTGTTGCCAATTGGATTGGAAATTTTTATCATATTTACAAAATACCGAAGCAAAATGTTGTAGCAATGAAGAAAATGAATGGCCATTTAAATTATTCATCTATATATGTTCGGGTGTTGGAGGATTAATTTTATTATTAATAGTTATATGCATCATTTGTCGTTGTCGATACAGGAAAAAACAAGTAATAAAGGATATTCATCTAGAACAGAGAGGTTTTTATACTAATAACAAATTATAGTAAAATTGCTTAGTAAAAAGTAATTAAGAAATATTTTTAGGTGATGAAGAAGATGGAGAAGGAGGAGAAGAAAAGAAACCTTTAATGGATAAAAGATAAACTAAAGAAGCAGATTGAAAAATATAATTAATTAAATAAACATTTACATTGTATTAAAGCATAGCTATTGAGTACAGAGTATTATTATTATTACTCTTATAGTAAGATATACAAACTGATTAGGAAACTGCAACATTCGTTGTTGACATCCATTTACAATCAACAAAATTTACTGTCATTTTGATAAGGCAGACATGCTTTAGCTAATCAACAGCAAACTTTAACAAATAGCTGAAATTTACCAAATTAACCACAGAAATAGAGAATGTTATCTCTATATTTGAAATTGATACCTTTAAATTAACTTTACTGTTTCATGCGAAAGATTTAGTGAAATGAAAATTGCACTCCAAGTCTGAAGTCTATGGAAATTAAATTATTAGCTATTTAAACAGTCTTAATTGAATCTTCTGTAAAGAAAAAGTAGATACTTTCTCAACCAACTCTTTTCTCAATTAAAAAAATGTCTTCTATGAAAGATAATAGTAATCTTAAAGGGAAAAACGTTATGAAGCGTGTAAAATTTCCCTGATGGTTTATTGATTTCATATATACTTAATAATTATATAATTTATTATTTCGAGGATTATTTGGTTCGGTAAAAGATGTCTGTAAAAAATAGAAAATCCGTAATTAATATAATATACCAGTCTTTCAAGTGTTTCTTCAATTCAATTGTTACTGGTACAATGTATATTTGTATAGGTTTTTTCTCTTTCTGCTTGGTATCTCATAGGATATTATGCAGGAAAGTTATATAGACTGCATCTTTCTTTTGTATCAGTCCTGCCATGTGACCATTGCATCTCATCTCTTCTCTTTCTAGACTTTAAGTATCATTTATCTCTTAGTCACTCTCTTTTAGGTCTTTTTTTCTGAGAAAACTTACCAGTTTATCTGTAATTCTACAGCAGAAGGATTATGGTTATCTCCTTTACTTTTCCTCGAAATAATCAGTGCGTAATTGTTACAATCCGCTTTTGAGTCTAAGTCTTTCGTCCTAGAACTTTGGGTAGAGTGTAAGATTGGGTAGGGTTCTTTAGCTTTTGGAGGAGTTTCTATATTTCTTTCAGATCTGATTCGATAAATCATCTTCTTTCAGTTGGTACCTTATCCGGATTTGCGGTGTACTATAAATTCCACACTACTATCTAGTTAGTATAATAAGATGAATATATTATATTCATAAAATGCGCAACAAATAAAAGTATGTGTCTATGCTAAAAATTTATTTTTCAAAGGAAATATTTTCGATTATTCATCATTTGATACAATAAAAGCGTTTTTAATAAAACTACTGTTTTAAACGAATAAATGTCTTTTGGTTAGGATTATGGTCTATTTAAAATTTTTTATCTTCTCTTGTGCATAGTCTACAACTATACGAATCTTCTTCTCAATTAATAGAATAGTCTCTACAGTTTCCGAATTGTTCCGTAAAGAATATCTTAAACTGGATGGATCACATATGAATCTGGTCACTGTATTTACAGCTTCTCTAATATCATCTGGCACATCAAAAGGCATTAAAGCGCTTAAACTGTGACTGTGAGAGTTGTCTGAAGAATTTAGGAATCTGAGAGATTTAAGAGCCTTTTCACAAGCCTGAAAGTATGTGTTTATTACACTTCTGACATAGATAAAATTAAATTAGGATATAATAATACAAACTTGATGACATTTATATAGTGCCCATCGGCTCGCTATATGATCGTAGGCATAATCGTTTGGAACTGCTTGCAAGTCTTCCTTAGCTAATTGAATATACTGTTTAGCAGAAAGGGGGCTGGGTTCTTCACAGCTGCGATAAAACAGGCAAGAACTAAAAAAGATTAATTACTTATAAACAAGAAAAACATTTAAATATATTCTTAATACTGTGAATTATTAAATCCTTGATTCTTTGATAAAAGTTCTATTTTCGATTGGAACGTTTGGTGTGCCTTAATTCTTTCTTTTGCGGTAATTTCCAGTTTTCTTTATAATATAAAAAATAGAATGAAATAATAAAAGCTATAAGACAAATGAATAATAACAAAGTTGAAGTTACTTACTCTTCAATAAATTCTATTACTTCCTGTGTAAAATTAAGCTTTACAATTTCATGAATGACTGTTTTCATCTTCGCGCATTTAGCTTTATAGTTGTCATTATGTTTTTCTTCCAACCAGTTGAAGAATGTCTCAATTATACACTGATATAAAAACATAAAGAATTGATACGATCCTAAATTATATTAATATAATGTTTCGACGACAATGCCTACCTTTTTTTGTACTTCTGTATCAAATAGTTTTAATAGTAACAGATCTTTTTCCACTGATTCTTTTTCAGAATTTTTTACATAATTATCAATTATTTCTTTGTTAGTATCCGTTTTGATGTAAAACAGCTCGTATCCTTTTACTTTTATATGCTTTTGCGGTTGATATTCAATAATGTATTCATTATTCCAGATATTGTCTTTATCGGTTGAAAAAATTTCAATAACCTGACTAACATAAAATATAGCTTCATATTTTTCATCACTAGCGTTTTTAGGGAGAAAACGACTTAAACTGGTTGTTTCCTGAAATACTACTACTTCATTTTTTTGGAACTCTGATCTTAGGAAAAACAGTTCTAAAATCTCTCCTTCGAGCAAGATTCTACAGGATAGGCTATCATATTCATTACAGTATTGTAAACTGAAGCCATTTTCTTCTAATATTTTCTGTATATCGTTTACATTCTGCGTGTAAAGACAGTCGAAGAAAACGTGTACAACCCTTTCTTCGTCAACTTTTAAATCGAACAAAATGTACTTTGCCAACTGTTTAGCTTGTTCTCTAAAATCAATTTTCAATACCTCATTTTTAAAATCCACATTTAGGTAAATTACAATCTGCTCATTTCTATTATCGATGAAGTAGCTGTGGCTTTTTTTATGTTTTTTAGCTGCAAAACGCAACGAAATAATCAAGTTTGATACTAATTTGATCTCAATATTTGATAATCTTTTCAGATATTTTTCTTTAGTACTTTCAACACCAATTTGACAAAGAATTGAAGTTAGAGCTGTTTTTAATAGCAGAGACCTCAAACGATCTTTCCAGAAATCACCAACAGAGCTACAATTAGACGAGCACTCATTGAAACTTTCAATTGTTTCTTCAACAAGTTCTGATATATTTTTAGGCAAAAATTTTTTATTCCAGCGACCAAAGAAAGCTTTTGATAAATTCAAGTCAAAACATACGATAATTTTATAATTTATCAGTTTTGCTTCTAATTGTTTGTGAATTTCTATATCAATAAAATAAAGCTCCTGCGAAGGTTTTAAAAAGTATTTACCATTTTCATCTCTTGTTATCAGATACAGCTGTGATTCAATTTGATCAATTTTTCGATTTTGAATGATGAATTGAAGATATTTTATTGCTGACTTAGCTGCATGTAAATTTTTTTCATTTAAAGGAACATTACCCTGATTAGTATATTCATAAATTTCACTCATAATATTACATAAAATTTGAGGTTCAACCTTCTTCACTAGTCCCATTTCATATAATAATGATTGATGTGGAAACAAGTATTCTGGTCTCTTACAAAAATATCCAGGAATATTGTAATTATCTTTGTCTTCGTATAAATTCTGTATTTTGATCATATCAATTATTGCATTATTATCGTCATCGGGGATCGGTACACGTAGAATATTTTTGACGTCTTCTTTTGATTCTTTAACTTCACTTAAATATTTAAAAATATAACCATATATTTCAAATATCATTTTAACTTTGTCACAGTCATTTTCTATTTTTTCCCTCAAAATTACATTTAAATTTTTCAGATGTTCAATCAAATCTGTAATGGAAACTTTAGTTTTAACGTTTAAAGTTTTAAATTTAGGAAAATTTTCAATTGATATTGTATCGATATACGGAAGCATTGGAAAAGCTGTCCAAAACAATGCATATTTTGCCTCTTTAGTATTTAGATATGAATTATTGATTGAAATTAGAGTTTTAGTACATTTGCTCAACTTTTCATATTCGTTTTTGACTTTAGCAGGATAAATAAAAGGATAATTGATAACCTTGTCTAACTGAGAGGCAGGCCATTCAGATATATCACTGTAGAAAAGGAATTGAAGTATTTGCACATCGTATTGCTGTTCGGGATTTTTTGAAGCTATTTCACAGAATCCAAGACAAATATCAGATGAAATAATCTCTTTCATTCCTAAATCTATCAAAAGTTCCTCCAAACAATTCAAAGAGTTATAATAGTGACTATCTGTTTCAGATAATATCTTTTTATAAATTGGGATTCTTTTGAAATCAAATTTGTCTGCAAGTTTACTCATATTCATACTAAATGTATCTGATGGTTTCCGATATTTTTCATCTAAACATTGAACAAATTCAATGGATTTCAGACTTTCAGTGTAATATTTCGCTTCATTAATTTCTTGTTCGAGTTTCAGACACGTTGATAAATTACGTAAATGTTTAATTTGTTCCTCTATTTCAAGATCAGGAAATTTTTTTAAAATATATTTCTCAAAGAAAAATAGCGGTGAAACAAGTTTCGCTTTGTACTTAAGTAAATTGTTCCAAATATTACTTGTCTTGTAAACTTTATAGTCTAAAATGTGAATATCATTAGGTTTCCATGAATTTTCATTTGTAAAATCTAGATACGCGCAGGTTTTCAACGTATAAATATGCTTTTCAAATAAAGATGTATATTTTCCACCAATCGTTTCGAAAACGGGTAGATGAAGTAGCTTAGTATTATCAGCGTCTTTTTCAATTTCTAAAACCCAACGAAATATTTTTCTTAACTCTTCCTTTTCCAAGTTTTGATAATTCAGCTTCGGCAGAATATCCCCATCATATAATGTCAAACACAAAATAAAATCAGAAATGTTATCATTTTTGGTATAAATTAAATCTGGAATGTATTGGTTAAATTCCACCTTATTGTTGTCTCGTTGAAAAATATTCAACTTTGTAATCATGTCATTATTTTCCGAACAAATTGCTTTATGATACTTTAAAGGGATAATGTAAATTTTGTCACTGGATTTACAAGGTAGAAGGGAATAATTTGAAAATTGCTGTAAAATTGCTGTAATTGCTACTAGTGATCCCTTGTGTTGATCTTTCGCCCATTTCCAGAAGTTGGCAATATATTCTTCATATTTCTCATGATATTCTACAATCTGTTTTGATTTGTCAAGTTCTTCTGGGATATTATCGACTATATATTGAGCTAACAAATCCGTAGTGGCTTCTCGTACTACTCCCGTTTTTTTAAGTTTATAAATCAAACTTGTTTTAATGATTTTCTTGTTTACAACATTCTCTTTCATATTTTGAAATAACAGAGTGTATTCTGTTGCTATTATCAAATTATATGGATCGAATACATCTAACTCATCTTCTTCGTTCAAAAATAAAGGCAACCTCTCTAAATCATCATTTTTGCTGTCACATTTCTTCTGATTATTATGCTTTGATTCAAATTCCGTATCGATAAATTTAATAACACTCTCTAACCGTTGTACTTTCATAAAGGGTGTCTCGGTGATATGAAGAGGAAGTTTACCAAAACAATGGTATTTCGATAGTAAAAATTTGACAACTTCAGTTTCATTCACTTCATAAATATCCATATGACCTGCTGCAAATTCTTCTTTTAACGTTGTAGGTACTTCTGTTATTTTCATACCAATATCTTTTAATATATTAACGACTGATTTACGATCAAATTGAAAATATAACAGATAATTCTTATTATGTTCATTGTATGACAACCATTCTATTGCGGAATTTGAGGATTCAAAAGCAAATATTTTACTCTTCTTTAAGTAACTCATACAGCCTTCACACACTCCCTTAATGAAAGTATCTTCCTTGTGTAATTTTGGGAAAAAACTATAAAAATTATTGAAAGTCAATTCTTTTTCCGTAACTAAAATTTTTAATTTTTCAATAATTCTAGCATAGCAATAGCCTATTAGTTTATTGAAAACGTACAAGTTCCATCGAACTTCAATTGCATTGTCTGAGTCTTCATTTTTTCGGATAGCTCTTCGATTTTCATGGTCTAAATAAAAACGTCCATTAATATGAACAGGCATATGACTTTCAATAGGTAAAGGTAGATGACAAAATATCTTTTTCTTTATTCCCTCCGAAGTTTCCAATTTGATTGGAAGAGCAACACCAGCTTCAGGATTAAACTTTTCATTACTTAAATCGCTTGGCAAATTATCGATTTCCCTAAAACCAAATGAACGATAAATTAACCATTTTTCATATTTCTTTGAATCACTTATTTTGAGATAATAGCATAAAGAAAGAGGATCAAAACGATCATTATTATAAACTTCTTGAGTGAAATTAGTTTGCTGGCTCTTCTTACTAAACGGTTCCCTTGAAGTTGATATACAAGATATATTCTCATATGAATCGCCAATCTTCTTTTTAAATACAATCTTTTGAATATTATTCAAGAAAAATAAAGATTCTTTTACAGTTTTATGAAAATGATCTTCTAAAATTTTTTCTGCTTCTTTAAAACGCAATGGTCGATCAGACAGTTTGGACCTGTTGGCCATTTTATTATCTCTAAGTGGAAATCTGAATAGAACTCCGTTTTCTAGGTCAAATTCTTGGGGCAGTGTCTGTAAAACATCAGAATATGAATTCATATCTTTTAAACTTATCATTCGCCCTGGCTTTAAAAAATTTTCTGCTTTCGGAAAATAAGAACGATGAGGATCAAATACACAAAATACTGGACCTCTCTCTTCATGATTAGCAACAATTATAGGTACATCAGTTAAATGATATACACAATTAAAACCAACACCAAATTCTCCAACTTTAGTTACATCATCCTTCTTGCTTCCTTCACCTAACCTTTGAATTCCGTCGAAATCTTCTTTTCGAAATTTTCCATTGTTATAGACGAGTAATGCTGGACACTTTTGTAAAGGTTTCCACGAATCTCCAAATATTTTCTCATCTCCATACTTATTTGCGTCAAGAATAAATTGAATTTCAGTAGCGCCAGCATCATCAGCATTCTGAATAATCTCCCTAATAATTGTTCCATCATTTGGATATGCTCGAAGAAGAGTTCTAATACGACTGAGTAAGTCCTCTGACTGACCGAATTCTTCTCCTATTCCAATAGATTTTGAAGAAAAGAATTTATCTTGATTACTTGGAATTTCTAGTTTCTTAGCTAGATTAATACTAATTTTCTCATGACAAACTTGTAGTTCACTTTTATCAATCCAATCAATATTGCAAAAACATAAATCTCTATGGCTTAACAAAACATTGTTTGTACTAGGAACAAAAATATGGTTATCGTTATTCATTAGGAAATTTTTCAGATTTGTTTTATCAGCAATTAAGCCATTGAGAATTGAAATAATCATATTAACTTCATCATCACAAATCGAGGTACAACTCTCATCACTTTTCTTCTTGATTTCGCTCAGAATTTGAATGAAATCATTGAATGAAGGTTCTTGTTTTACATGGAGAATGTTTAAAAATTTGATAGCATTGGAGTTTCGCACGCATTCAAACATAAATGGTTCAAGATTAGTAAAAATACCGGTCCGATAGCATTTTGAATGATCTTTTTCAAATTTAAAACCATTGTTATGGTGAACAAGAAGTGGAAAATCTTGTGAATTAAAGTCTTTTTTACTTAAAAAAGTAATGATCTCATTGTATATTGTCTTTACTTGTTCAGAAATTTTACAATTTTGAAGAATGTTTACATTCTCTAACACTTCTTCAACAGATGCCTCTTCAATGTTCAAGAGTTGAGGCAATCTTAATGGTACTTGGTTTGATAGAGCTGGTTTCACAAAAGCTATCAATCGAAAATCACATTTTCTGATCGCTTTAGAAGAATATAAATATGTACATCCGTCATCGTGCCAGTCTAATTCCCACTTTTCGGACTTTACTTTTATTGGAATGAATGAAATGTTCTTTAGTTTATTTAGTTGTTCATTGGTTATAATTGTTCCTGAAGAATGTGTTTTGTGAATAACTGAACATATCAAATGTCCTCTATTAATAAAGTCTGGATCTTTTCTATTCTCCTCAAATACCTTACATCTTTCAATAATTTGTTCTACACTAAGTTTAGTAGATATGATTCCAATAGCAGAAAGTTCAGTTTTCACACTTTCGACGTCTTCTTTATCCCAATCACAAAATCGATTCTCTTCAAAATCGAAGAGGGGCGATAATTCAGAATTTTCCAAAACAACTTCTTTAGGTAATTTTAAAATACCATTTGGTTTTGTTCTTATACACTTCGATCGTTCCAATATGTCACTTATCGTTGAAGGAAATTGTTCAAGACCACTTTTAATAATCAAATCAAAATGTTTGCTGTTAATTGAATCACTGTTCTCCACAAGACTCGAATAAAACGTTTTGGTATCAATTACTCTGTTCATAAAGTATTCTTCTTCGCATTTTTCAATAGTGTTTCGTAAACTCATAGGCAATTTAGGAAATGGCAGTTCAAATAGATCAAATGCAATAGTGTCTAAATCAATATTTGTAAGTTCTTCCAATTTGTATAGTTCCTCACTTAAGAAACGTATATCATTTGGTTCATACCAGTTCATCTGAAAGATAAACCAGCCATCAGAAGATTTAATCATTTCTCTATAAAAAATTCGAATGAGTTTTTCAATAAAGTGATCAGTATAAACATTTAACGTCGGAAATAGCTCGTACCATCTACAGCTTTCACCATTTATAATTATTGTTTTTATTGCAGAAAAAGTATCTTTTAGAGCTAACGGAATTACTCTTTCAAAGAGCAATTTATTCCATTCATGTTCAATTACATGTCTATCTCCTTTAGTATTTCTAATAATATTTCTTCGATCATGTGATGTCGCAAATGATCCATTCAAATGGAAAGGAAGGTCCGTAGAAATAGGAAGCGGCAAGAAACAATACAGGGAATTGTCATATGAAACATTCTCTGATAAGCAAATTGCAACTCCCCCAATAGCTACGCTTCCTCTCTCCTCCAGTTCTGGTAAGACATTTGTAATTTTGTTTTGTCCAATAATCCATTGATATGATTCGTCACCTTCACCTTTGTTCAAATACTTAAAAGCCGAACCCACCTTCTTATCTATGTTTATCAAGACTACTGTTTGTGAATCATAGTTATCCAATAAGACATTTGCATGTTGTATTACTTCGATATAATTTGTTTTTTCCCTTAAGCATTTCGGTATTTTTTCAATTTGAAGAGCTTTCGTATTAAGCGCATTGCCAAGTGTTTTTTTCATATTAATAATTTCCTTTATGCCTCCTGAAGCATTTATATGAAACATTTGAAATTCGCATATACATTGGGTAAATAGAAGAAGATCACTAGAGAAATTAAGTACAATCTGTATTAGTTCTTCTATATTTTCGGAATCGTATGATATTTTAGAAATTAAAGATTGAAAAGCTTGTTCACGACTTCTCAATTGAAGTCTAAATAGCGTTCCATCAAATCTACATTGTGATGGAACTTTACAACCAAATATTCCTTCAAAAGGTGATAGTAATCTCTTTAATGGTTTTAATTTGGATTCATCCAATTTTATTCGATAACCTCCTCTTTGTTTCTTTGAAAGGCTTCCAGAGTACTGAGCATGGGGATCAAATCGAACATAGTTGTTACCCGATATAAATGACGGTGTTTCTGTATAATGATATACGGAATTAAATCCAATACCAAATTTTCCGATTGTTGACTTTTTCAATTCTTTGTGGCCAGAATTTATAGATTTAACTGCGTCAAAATCACTTTCACTGAATAGTCCATCATTATAAACCCAAACGGATGGACCGATAAAATATTTGCTTTCGTCTTTAATAGATGAGGATCTTTCATCGAACATGATTTTGACGGTTGTTGCTCTAGCATCATCAGCATTTTGTATAAGCTCTTTAATTGGCCCAATTCCATCTTTATATTCTGAAATCAATTGTTTCAATCTACGACATAAATCTTCGGATTGAGTCCAGTCTTCAAATTCCAATAAAGATTCATTCATGGAACGAATATCTAATATATTTTTTGTATCCTCGCTAAGTCTTAGTTGATTATGAAGAATGTAACTGAATCTATTTTCGTCAAATTCTATGATGTAACAATCATCGTCTACTCCAGTAAAGTTTGAAATAGCTGCTTGTGTACATCTGCTCAGCGGTTTCATAGAAAAAGTACATGAATCTGTTGTTTCCACTGGAATCATTATATCCTTTAATTCGTAGGAATTAGTATCTTGAATAGAGTTCAAAATATCTGAACATATGCGAATACCATTTTTACAGCTTGAAGGCGGATTTTTACTGATATCTATTAGTACCTAATTTAAGGTTGTATGAAAATTTAGCACAGATATTAATATGAAAAAGGTAGAAACTTACATTTATACAATCCAGGTCTTCTTTTGCATCGCATTTTAAATAGAATTCTTTGAATTCTACAAAATTATTGGGAATATAGAATCGATAGGGTTCTAGTTGAATATTTCCATTATTTATAATGAATTTTGTAGGATGAACAAATTCCTTTCCTGTCCAGGCACATTGTTGGTCCTTGAACTCGGACACCCAATCATTAGAGGCATTAATCTGTTTGTAAAGTATTTTGATTATGTTTTCCGCTTTTTCCATATTTTTGCCTCTTAATTGACGTATTTGTAACTGGAGAACTTGAAATTGCTTATTTACAATGTCAAACGACAAAGTAGAATCACAATTTAACAAATGGTAGAGCTTGTCAGGAATAACTGGTTTTACACCTCCAACCAACAAGGAATGATTATCACTAAAAACAGAATGTCGATCATACAGACATTTCTTCCCACCAAACCAATTAATCCCATTGGGATAATTTTCAGGGTGAATTTCAATATCACTTATCCACTTTAATTCTGAATTAATTGATATATTCTTTTTAATTATGTAATTTTGAAGACTTTTACTTAAAGCAAAGTCATTATTTCTTACAACATATTGAAAAAGTTTAATCAAAAGCTCTTCACTTAGAGTTGACTTTAGACCAATTTCGCTTAATATCTCTTCAAATTCCCTTAAATTGGGGTGCAAAAAATAGTTGGATAACGTTGCTTCCTCTCTTAGTTTACAGGGGAAGGAAACATCAAAGCTGTAGAGTTCATCTAGTAATTTACATGTAAAGTTTGCCGCTGGAAAAATTCTTCTATTTATGATATATTTTTTCACTGCATTAGCTTGATAATTCTGAAAAGCATATTGTATGATTTCAACTATTTCCTTTGTATTATACTTGTCAGGAATGCTAGGAATTACTTTCAAGAAAAGTAGCATAGGTATGGATATCTCTTCCAGACCGAAAACATGTTTAAGTGTTTCAACTTCGTCACATTTTTTAATTAGGTCTACTTTTGTTGGAAAGGGAACACACTCTATAAATTGATTAGTTAAAGTGGACGAAACATATATGTCCCTTTCGTATTGGGGAAATATTTTTAGTCCTTCCCATTGAACTTGTATCTTTGCAGATAGTGCTTGTATACTTTTAACATTGGAAGAAAGATAGTTTAATACGTCGCTTGCTTTTGGATTGTTCATTTTACCAAACAAATTTGATAAATGTTGACCTGTGTTTACAAAATCACTGGAGAATAAATTTTGAAACAATCTTTCGCAAACATTATTGAATATAATAGGATTGTTATTGGATTTTCTTATGTTCAAAAAAGGTATAGATATTTTTGACACACTCTTAACCAATATTATACCAAATGCTTGTAAAATGTTTTTATCAACTCTTCTTTCTATTGCTTCGTCAAAAATAGCTGGAAGATTTTTTACTGCATAGCTCTTAAAATCTTTTCCATTAGTTGTTAGTCTTATCACAGGCAAGTTATCAAATTTTCCTGTAACGATACTAAGGCGCTCTTTTAATATATAGTTGATAAATAGTTCCAGCCACGAATGATCCTGAAACTCTTCTTCCATATGCTCTACGTATGATAGGAATTTAGAGATATCCATATTTCTAAGCTGATAATTCTGTTTAAGAGCCATATCTTCAATTAGTCTTTTACATTTTTCTGTTAAAGAATTTGCTGCAATAAAATCAATTCCCACGCCATTCAGTATTACATCTAAGTTGTTTGATGGATAATAGATGTAATTATAGAAAATATGCCTTTTAAATGTACTGAAAGATACATTAGATTTTGAATCTTTTACTGGAAGAAGCTCCAAGTTTGAGACATCCAAATTTAAATCTAATAGATATTCAAGAATCCCTATTTTTGTTTTAGCCGATATAAAGTTTTTCCAACAGTTCCGTGCCTGTAACTGAAGAATTACTTCTTTTATTTGAACTTCACATACGAAATGGCCTTTGAAAAAAGTTCGCAACGTCTGTAGAGTTTCTTTGTTAAGAACGACGAAGTTTTCATTCGAAGCTTTTAGAATTTCAATTTTAAATTGAGCATATTCATCATCGATAATAAATTTAGTATTTATGGGTGTTGTTTTTTTCAATGAACCCGATATGAATTTACAACTAAGTAGGTTAGAGATTATTTCATTTGAACTTATCAACCAGAGAGGATCATTTGAAGAACTAGGTGGGAAAAATTCAATGATTTTATCAACTGATTTATACTCCGACAGAGAAGTAAATAATTGATTGTAAACTTTCGGTAGTAGATGTTTAAGCATTAAAATGTTCCATTTCGAATCGTCATCATTCATTATCTTTGAGAATTTCAGACCAGATCGACTATCATTTAAAGCAAAATATCCATGAATATGAATAGGATATGCTATATTTGTACTACATGGAAGAAAGGTAAACAATGATCCTTCCCCTAAAAGGGAATGATCAAGGGGAACGGCTAAACCCACACAAGGTTGATAGTGAAGTTTATTTGATAGTGTTTTAATATCAGAATTATCGAAATTTTGTTGAACTACAACAAGATATCTCTCAACTTTCCTTGTTGTTCCATTTTGTATGATGAAACAAGAATCATAGCATATTTGAAATGGTTTAGAATTTTCCAGACTTTCTCTGTAAATTAATCTTTGTCTTTGAATATTTTCAGTTAGTGTAATTTCTATGCTACAAAGTAGTGCCGATCCCGAATCTGAAAGCCGATACAGTCTGATAGATTGCAGATATTTAAGAAACAACAGATTATTAGATCCATCTTCGATAAACTGGTCAAATAATTCAATAATATCTGAATCGGAAAGAACTCGATCAGATACATCAGATGGTTGATTTCTTAATGGTAAACGAAACATAGTAAATGGATAATCTTCATTATAGCGGGTATCATAATCGGCTACTAATTTGCTAGCTTCCTCAAGCTCCCTTTTCTTTTCAGGGCATTTCGAAAGCATTTCTGAAAGATCATAATGATGAATTTCGTCTTTGAAATACTTGCATGAAGGATCAAGATATAAAACATCTTCTCCGCTTATAATTTGTATGCAGTCTGCAAAATGTTTATATCGTTATTTCTCTTAAAAGAGATTAAAAATGAGTTTAACCTGTTAAATGAAAAAGAGACTTCATTCCTAAACCAAATCTACCAACTTTATAAGCTTTCTTGTCCTTATTACTAAGACCAACTGATTGTATGCCTTTCCAATCTTCTGCAGTAACACGAGCATCATTAAAAGAAACAATGGAACGAAGTTGTTGAAGTGAAGCTTGTTCATTGGTTTCGTAGCTCGATTTCTTATCAAATGTTCTGCAATCAAAAATGAAACTAACATTTTTAGCTCCTGCATCTTCAGCATTCTGAATCATTTCCTGCAATTATTAGAATATGATATTAAGTTAGAAATAGTAGAGAAATTAATTGAAATTACCTTTAAAATACCACCATCGTATGGGTATTTTTGAAAGATTTTATGGATTTCGTCTAGAATTGTTGGCCTAAGAAATTTCTTTCCAAAGCCTATAGAATTAACGATAAATAATGTACTCTTACTTTTTATAGACAATTGAATTTTGAAACAATTGAAACAATGCCTTTACTGACTTTAATGGTCTATAAAGAATGTAGACAACAATACATTATATATTAATATAGACATATTAAAAAAAATCATCAAAAAATGGATAATAAGAAAGCAAAAACACTTATGTGAAAACTTATCTAAATGATATTTAAATGTAATTGTTAATTAGGACTATGCACTATAAAATTCATAATTAGTTACTATATTAATATTTTTCTCTTTACATTAAATGTTATTCTATTGCAGAACTATGGAAAAAATATGAAAAAACAAACGTTTTTCCATTTTCTTATTTCTTCTCTCCTAAAAATAATTGTAACATATGATTGGTTTGTTAATTAGAAATAATAAGACATTTTAATTAGCTTTTACTAACCTATTTTGAAATAGAAGACTAGAGTTTAGAACTAGAAGTAAATGACGATAGCTTTGTACACCTTCGATAGCTGTCCAGACACAAAATGCTCGTGATCAATATGGTTTTGAAGAATTTAGGCTTTTCAGAGGTGTGGTTTTGGGGAAACAATTGTTTCCAGTCAGTCACCTTAAAATTGTGTAAATAATAAATCTCTTCCAACGCACTCGACTATTGAATTAAAGAAGAGGTTATAGATGGCGTAGCTAGTACTGTAAGTAAAAGTTGCACTTGCAAAAATATTCACCTATATTACAAGTAGTGCTTGAAATGGTTTTGATAGATGATAACAAACCCTTATTTACGCTTTCGTAAATACTAATATATTAAATATCAAATACAAATATTCATAATTAGTTAATTGCCAAGGTTTATATCTTTTACAGTCAAAGTTAATATTGAAAGAAAGAAAACAATACGAGTAGATATTTACATTTGAAATATGAAAAGAGAGGACAATATTCGAATGGTAGGGAATGTTGTATAAAAGAATAAAATAGGAGAAAAGGTGTACGGAAGATTGAGGGAGAGAGAGAGAGAGAGAAAGACACTTATCAAGATGGATACTTTAAGAGTAAAAAGTAAAACAAAATTAACTATAGATAAACTTATATTCTTGTCAGTATCATCCGAAAAATTCGGTAAACAAATATTCTCCTTTACAACAACTCTATTGTTATGTTTATCAATTGAAAATCGAGATAAATTAAATACAATTCTATTACTTTTTTAATCTTTATTTTATTTTAATAGCACCAAAAGCATCACAGATAAATACAAAATAGTTTAATCGTCACTTTGATGCACTTCTACAGTTACTTCTGTGGTTGTTTTTATTAAAGCCATCCTTTGGCTTTTGTTACCTTGATCGGTAGTTTTAGTTGAAAAATTTTCGTTATTATTCGAATTGTGTATCTATTTAAGAAAGATGAAAATATTTATATTATAAAAGGTTATTTAGAATAAATAAACAGCAAGTTTTACTAATTACTTACAGGAGTAGCCCGGGTACTAACGAATACCCGGCAAGATTTATTATTTATTTGACTATCACTACCAGCGTGACTAGATTCTTCAGTAATTGTACTTAGGTTTTTCTTATCGTAGTCCTTGGGAGGTTTTTTACGAGGTTTTGGTAACATAGGAGACGGTTTTGGCATAGGCTCATCACCCAATTCAATCTGAGCCCTTGGATTTATTAAATATAATATAACAGGTATAGTAACCAAGAGATTCGAGCTTAGAAATAGAATAGCCAAAATATACAAGATGAAGAAATATCTGTCAAAAAAGAAGAGAGAGGAAAGAAGGAAGAGAATTAGTTAATCCGTTATCAAATTTATCTATTATCCATCATTCAACTTACTTGAATATAAAGATGAAATGCGTAAAAATAATGACTAGAAGTACAAACAGAAATCCCAATATATACTTTACGTATACTGGTAAAAATTGTTGTAAAGTTAACTTTAACCTTTCCGTTCTAGTTCCAATATTCGTTACATAAGCCTATAAAGGATAAAAAAAAACAATTATAGCCTGTAAAATACCCTACGTAGTCTATATAACATTGTGAAAGTTAACTATACAGTATACTCTAAATCGCTGACACATATACATATGTATAAATTAAACGATAAGAAACAATCATGTTATCAATCTGCTTAATCAGTTAAAAATTATATCAAGAGTTCTTTATTTATATTACTTTTATACATTCTATTCTTTAACTTGCCAAATTAAAGAATTTACTTACAATAAAGAAACGTAGAACCGATGGCAACACGAATAAGAATGTTGTAAGCATTATAACGGCCGATATGCCGTTCAATTTGAGATTAATTATTCCAGAGAATCCTAGAATTTCTACGTAAATAAACAATAAAGTTGAGGTCTAAAATAAAGGTAAACGTTATTAAAAAGGGGTGTTCTGTTTAAAGAAAACTCTTATACAAACCAATACAGCTGCAAACCATAGTTGCATAAGAAAGAGTGTAATTATTACTGATAGAACTACTAAGCAGGCCCCAAAAGCGACGATAATTTTTAATTTAAGATTGTGAAGATCGTCCAAGTAGGTAAATAATTCTCCTTTTGGAAATGATGTAATTCCCATTGAGGTATATTTTTCACATATTTCTCTAATTCTAGATAAGCTTGGCAGAATATCATCTTCGTTGGTAAAACTCATTAAGAGTGGCATTTGGCTAAACGCTAAAGGTTTTGATTTTTGCACTGTTCGAAAAAGAAAAACATGAATATAACAGAATAAAGAAGGAAAATTAGCAAAATAGAATTTTATAAATGCTATTAATACCCTCTATTTTATTACTTATTTAATTTAAATCCTATTTATAAGATAATACAGCTAATCCCTATTTAATCTGTTATTTGTTAAATGTAATTTTAACATGTGTAAATAAATTTCTTATTTGTTTCTTGTCAATAAAACTATTACGTAACATTTTAGTTGAGATTACTACCGCTATTTTATCTATTTCTCTTTTACCTTCGCAATCATCATTTCGATAGTCGTTCTTCCATTCCTTTGGTTCGGGTTTTAGTTGCGCTTCAGAGAACGAATAGGCCAGTAAATTCTCGGAAGTCCAGGCACTCAGTAGTTTGTAAAACAATTTGGGATTAATTATTCCATCTCTCACCAACTTAGTCGTTAGAGCTTTCTTTGATCTAAATCTCGTTGGTGTTTGTCCTAATAGTTTAAAAGCAACTATACCATCGTAAGACATATTTGTTGACCATTCGGGAATATTGCGAGGGCTACTCTTGATAGCTTTTCTAAATATATGCTTCTCCTTGTTGAATATCCTCTGTAGGCCTATTTAAAGAAAACGGATAAAAATTATGGAAGAGTGACCATGATAAAGTGTGAATAGAGTGGCGACAATAGAATTGTTACAAGTTTTTTCTAACCCTTCCCTACCCATTAGTCCGTTCTTTTATTTGAGTACCTATTTTTTATTTAAAAAGTCCATTAAGCTATGTGCAGTAACTCTTTAATTCTGTAAAGAAAAGGGTAGTACTCAAAACGTCTTTCGCACCCCTTTCAATAGAAATCTACTTTCCTTCCCCCTTTGTTAAAGCCTTCTCTCGTTCAAAAAGGAAAAATGAACAAACCTTGCAACCAGTCTCTGAATGATCTCAACCAGAATGTTCTATTAGATTGAACGACGCCCTTAACCTCTGAAAGCTCTTCTTCGAGTTGAAACATTAATTTTTGATTATAAGGAGACGTATAATCAAAATCATCGGTAGTAATGATATGCGTATAATAGTTAGGAAAATGAGTTTCCCTCGTTTTAAGTGCTTCGTACCGGTCACTTCCTTTTTTCGAAAAGTCTAAAATATTCATGCCAACGGAAATCCTTAAAATTCCTAAGATTCCAACGACGATAGCCATTGAAAGGCAAATTATAATTAATATTTGTATATTTCTCCTCTCAAGGAACGCTCCATAGGTATCCGTACAAGAGTTGGACTTATCTTTGGAACAATTTGGAATTTGGACACAAACATGATTGCAATCGGACCGCTGTGTCAGATTTTCGTTTAATCGCTTTTGTAGATCGAGGCTCATAATTGACGGTAGAACTATACACAATCCAATTAGATTCATTAAAATTACAATACCAAGCTGAAAAGGAGATGTTTAGTTTAGAGTTATGTATAAAGGAATGATTACGTAAACAATCTAAAATGTTTCATCTTTTACCTGAAGTATAAAATGTCCGATAGCCGTTGCATTGAATACAAAATAGATGACGAACAATATAGAATAATTGCAAACGATTGGAAGAACAATATCCAACGAGCATCTCTTCATTACATGACCTATTTTATCACTAAATTCTACATCGCTCCTACAAACTTCTTTATAAGTTTGTAAAAATAGTATAATATGTTCGTAATTTGCTCCAACTATAATAAACGGTAGCAGCTGTATGGGGAAAATAGATGAAAAAGAATTAAAGAATTTCTCTTTACTCTTGATGATAAATTGACTAGAATAAACATAGAAAGAATTAAACAAAATCACATTCTATCACTTTCCTTAAGAAATACTTTTTGACTCTCTCAATTTTCTTTTTATCAAATATTTGCTATTCTCAAGAAATAGAGAGAGTTCAAAGAGAGACAAGGAGAGAGAAAGGCAAAACGTTTAGAAATACTTGATATGATAACAATACACGTTATAAGGATTTATGTAAATGTTTATGAAATATGATCTATGCATATATACATAATGATAATATAATTAATGTATATATAAATATTGTTTAATACTAAAAAGTTTACTGTACCTGAAACGTTAGAGCGTTCAAATCAAGACCAAAGACACAACATAGGCCTAAAGCTGAGGCTGTACTAAGTAGTATAATAAGTATAGAGGAGACACTTAAAGATATTTGAGACAGAGCTAATTTCTTATTTCGACTGAGATTAATTAAAATAGAGTAGATAATCTGTAATTAAAAAAAGAGCAATTTAGTTTTCCATTATTAATTACGAGCGCATTGTCAATTAATCATTGAAGTAGAAGTAAGAATATATATATATATATAGTATAAAGTATATACAGTAGATATATAGATTAGGTGTTAGGATGTAAAAGTTTTTTTTTACCCCTCTATCTGCTCAAATTCTAATTTTCTTCTATCTATCTTTTTCTCTCGTTCTCCCTTCTGTCTATTTCTTTCTCTTTATCCCTCCTCCTCCCCTATTTTCAATTGATTGCTCGATTTCAATAGCACCTTATTTGTAAAGATACTTTTTTTGATTTTTTTTCGCTGTTTTTTTTGTATCTTAGATAAAAATAAAAAGAACTAAAGCGGAGAGAAGACACTACAGGAATTCTATTGTTTTTCAACAGAATTATCATTTATGATTAACGTCCTTAACTGAATATTGAAAGTAGGCAAATTCTTTTCTTAAGCTGATAATAGATGTCGTTACATGCAGTATATATGTACATAATATACACAATATGTTTGTGACATTCTTATCATCTATTCGTTTGTTAATTGCTACTTA